AGGGTGAAAATAGTTGGAGCCTATTCTGAGCACGACAGGATGTGTGCACAAGGGATTGAACCCAGGGCTTTGCGCATGCTAGGCCAGTTACCACTGAGCTACCACTCAACCCCCCATGCAGGACTTTGCTCTTGGGGTTGAGGATGCAAATCAGTTGTAGAGTCTCCTAGGGCTGGGGCGGGTAGCTCATGCAGTAGAGCACCTGCCTAGCAAGTGTGAGGCCCTGAGTTCAAATCCCAGTACCACCAAAACAAAAAAAGGTTGTCGAGAGTGCCTGCCTTGCATCTGCAAGACACTGAGCTTCCTCCCCAGCACTTTGAGCCACTCCACCAGCCTTTTTGTGATTTATTTATTTATTTTTTTTTTTTTGAGATAGGGTCTTGTGAACTATTTGCCTGGGCTGGCCTTGAACCACAGTCCTCCCAATCTCTGCCTCCTGAGTAGCTAGGATTACAGGCGTGAGCCACCAAGACCTAGTAAAAAAAAAAAAAAAAAGAAAGAAATTTTTTCTTGTCACTGTCCCATAAACAGTATAGTATAAAAAGTATTTACATAATATTTACACTGTATTGCAGCATTCTGACCATTTTTATTTTATTTTTTTGGTGGTACTGGGGTTTAAAGTCAGGGTCTTGTGCTTGCTCAGCAGTGCTCTACCCCTTGAGCCACTCCCCCACCCCTTTTTACTTTAGTTATTTTTCAGGTAGGGTCTCACATTTTTCCCTAGGGCTGGTCTCAGACCTCAATCCTCCCATGTAGCTGGGATGACAGGCGTGAACCACCACACCTGGCATATTGATTGAGATGGGGTTTTGATAATTTTTTCCCCAGACTGGCTTTGAACCATGATCCTCCTGATTTCTCCCTCACAAGTAGCTGGGATTATAGGCATGAGCCACTGCTCTTGGCCTAACAATCTGCTCTTGTACATGTGACCTCCAAGGTTACCATGAATCCAGGAAAGAGAGCAGAAGGTTGTGAGGAGATTTTATGACCACTCACATCCTACTGGCTAAGACCCAGTCACATGGCCCCAGTGTAACTGCAAAGGAAGCTGGGGAATGTATTTTAGTCATAAGTGCTCAGCTGAATGCAGATGGAACCCAGGGCCTGATGCACACTACACAAGCACTCCCACATGCATTCTTTTATTTTGTTCTGTGCTGTTTTGAGACAAGATCTTGCCATGCAGCCCAGGCCTACCTCAAACTCGATATCCTCCAGTTTCAGCCTTTTAAATGCTGGGATTATAGGCGTGAACTCTGACACCTGGCAGCCCCCCCATGAATTTTTGAGGTAAGGATGGTTGGAGGAGGAACTAGCAGACCTAGGTCTACATTTGGGTGGTAGAGGGGACCACAGAGGAAATAAATTAGCAGAGGCAACAAATCAGAAATGAACAGGAGCAACTGCAGCTCCTCCAGGGCTTTCTGTGCTATTTGAGGGTGTCAGGGGAAGTTCCTCAAGACTTCACAGGGCTCTTCCCTTCCAACCCTCCTATCACTCTCTGTACACACCTGGCACCTCCTCTCTGAAGACCCCATCAGCCTATTCTAAATCACCCCCAGCCCACCTTTCCCTCCCCAAGTGACTTGCTTCATTTTTTCTCACAACAATTGCATGGAATTGCAATAGTGACAAGAAAAAATGCAACTCTGAAATTGCATTCTATAGCTATGTGAGTATTATCTGTGCCTCAGGAGTAAGATTCTGAAGGCAGACAACACGTCTCTTCCATCCTTAGCATCTGGAACAGTGCCTGGCACTGGGGAAGCAGTCAAGAAACTAAAGAAGGAGGAAGGAAGGGAGGGAGGGAATGGAGGAGGGAAGGCAAGCCTGGGTTACATGTTCAGACCCTGTCTCAAAAAAAAAAGAAAAAGAAAAAGAAAGAAAGTGAGAAAGAGGGAGGGGGGAGAGAGGGAAGAGGAGAGAAGAGAAAAGCAAAAGTAGATTAGTGGTCGTCTAGGGTGGGAGGTTGGGGAGAAATAAGTGACTTCTATAGATGTGGGAGTTCTTTTGGAGGTAGTGAAAATATTTTCAAATTGATTGTGGTGACGGTTATACAAGTTGGAATAGACTAAAAACCATGTAATTATGTACTTTAAGTACTGAATTACATGGTATGTGAATTGTATCTCAACAAAGCTGTTTTTGAAAACCTCAGCCTAACATCTAACTCTCAATTCAAGTCACCCCAAATCTGACCTCATTTTAATCGACTCTCTAAACTGCCCCCTGCACCCCCTGTTCACAGCAAACCCATACGCTCAGTTTGCCCCACTTCTGAAATCAATGCTAATCTAATTAAATCCAACAGCCAATTCCAAATTCTTGTGTAAAAATTATTTTTAGGGGGCTGGAGGTGTGGTTCAAGTGGTAGAGCACCTGCCTAGCAAGTGTGAAGCCCTGAGTTCAAACCCCAGTGCCACCAAAAAATATTTTTATTAGCATTCATTAATTGTACAAAATGAGGGTTTTCGTTGTGACATTTCCATACATGAATATAACGTACTTTGGTCATGTTCACCCCCTCTATTACTCTTCTCATCTTCCCTTCTCCCCCAATCCCCTCCCCTTTTTTTAACTTTCTTGTAATTTTCTTTTTTGGTGGTACTGGGGTTTGAATTTGGGACCTCACACTGGCTAAGGAAGCACTTTACTACCATGGTAATGCCCGTGGGCCTTTTGGCTATAGTTTATGTTAGATATGATCTCAGGCTTTTGCCCAGTTTAGCCTCAAACTGATTCTCTTACCTCATTTCCTGTAACTGGGACCTCAGATGGATCCCACCATGCCTGGCTTATTTATTAAGATGGGGTCTCACTACTTTTTGCTGAGCTGGCCTCTAACCATGATCCTCCTGTTTGTACCTTCCAAGTAGCTGGGAGATGTGTGACACCACACCTAGCCCCACAATTTTTTTTTGTTGGACTGGCATTTGAACACAGGACTTCATGTTTGCAAAGCAAGTGCTCTACCACTTGAGTCACTCCTCCAGTCATTTTTCGTGTTGGGTATTTTTCAAGATAGAGTCTCACTATTTGCCAAAGCTGGCTTTAAACCTGGATCCTCTTGATCTCTGCCTCCTGAGTAGCTAGGATTATAGGCGAGTCATTGGTGCCTGGCTATTTTTAGTTTTTTGAGGAACCTCCATACTGATTTCCAGAGTGATTGCACTAGCTTGCATTCCCACCAGCAGTGTATGAAGTTTCATTTTTCCCCACATCCTCACCAACACCTATTGTTAGTGGTGTTGCTAATGATGGCTGTTCTAACAGTGGTGAAGTAGAATCTTAGTGTGGTTTTGATTTGCATTTCCTTTATGACTAGAGATGGTGAGCACTTTTTCATGTGTTCTTTAGTGATTTGCATTTCTTCTGCAAACTCTCCATTCCATTCATTTGCCCATTTGTTAATTGGATTATTTGTCCTTTGGCTGTTTAATTTTTTTGATCTCTTTGCATATGCTGGATATTATTCCCCCCTCTGATGAGTAACTGACAAAGATTGTCCTCTGTTCTGGGGGCTGCCTCCTCACTGTGCTGTTTCCTTGGCTGTGCAGAAGCTTTTCAATTTGATGCAATCCCATTTGTCAATTCTCGCTCTGATTTCCTGAGCTATTGGAATCCTCAGGATTCCTGTGCCTGGATCTTGGAGTGTTCCCTCATGTTTTCCTCGAGTACTTTCAGGTCTTACTTAGTTAAGATCTTTGACCGATCTTGAATTGATTTTTGTACAGTTTCAGTTGTCTACATGTGGATATCCAGCTTTCTTTTTACTATTGTTACTATTTTTTTGAGATAGTGTCTCACTTTGTAGCTCAGACTGGCCTAGAATCACAATCCTCCTGCCTCAGCCTTCTGAGTGCTGGGATTATAGACATGCACCACCACACCTGGCTCCATGGTCATTTGGTTCCATTTACTGAAGCCAGCCAGAGATTCCAGAACCAAGTCAACATGGAAAGTTAAGTTCAGCTTTTCCTCTAGGATCTAGGTTATGGTTGGATCTTAAATGTCCACCAGTGTTCATGTGCTGAATGCTTGGTCCCCAGCTGGTGGCGCTGTTGGGAGGTGGTGGAAACCTGAGGGGGTGGGGCCTAGTGGGAGGAAGTTAGGCCCCACCTAAGTTGTGGATGTGATCTTGAAGGATATATCGAAACCCAGTTCCTTCCTCTCGCTCTTTTCTTTGCTTCCGGCTTACCATGAGGTGAGTATCTTTGTTCCACCACACGCTCTCTGCCATGTTGTTCTGCCTCAACACACGTCCAAAGCAATGGGTCCAAGTGACCATGGACTGAATCCTCTGAAACCATGATCCAATATAAATCCTTCTTCCTTTTAAGTTGTTTTTCTCAGGGATCTTGTCATGCAGATGGAAAGTTGACTAACCCATTGAGTTAGTTAACAGGGCATAACTTCCAGCAAGTCCCATTATAATTGGATATCCAAAAGATACACCCAACTGATTAAGACAGGTGGTAGCAGGTCCCCAGGTGAGACAAGAGCCAGTCCCTAAGACAGAGATGGCCAGCAACACCAGATGAAAGACAGAGGCAGGGACACAGTTCATTGATTTATTCTCAGACTTCAGAGGACAATTTTGCCCTATGGCCTGGGAGGATGGGTAGGGGTGGGGTGTGCCAGAATCTCTCTCCTCATATCCCAGCCTTCTGCAGAGGAAGAAGCAGATTAAATATACAACAGAGGAGATTTCCCTTTTTAATACAGACCCAGGTATAAATAGGGCAGCACCATTAGGTTTCTGATTTGTGACCGCCATCTTGGTCCCCAAACCACCTGGCATAGCAAGGTGGGAGTGGGAGAGGGGAGTGTGCAGAGCTGGCCTGAGGCAGCAGAAGGGACGCAGAGCTCAAATGTGTGAAGGGGTCCCATCCTGGGATCAGAGAAATCCAGTGCTTAACTATGGGGAAGGGTAGCACCAAAAGGTGTTAAGGACACTTACGGGGGGGGGGCGGGACAGGCGTGAGGGGCTTCTATCATTGCATGGGGACTCAGAAGGGGTGGAGTGGATGGGTGGATGAGGATGGAGGGGAGAAAGAGCCAGACTGCGCTTATGCCACCCGGATGGGGTAGAGGGGAGCTGGACCTTTGGGCTGGAGGAGTCCATCCCTTAGCCTCCTGGAAGGGAGAAGGGACATGCAGTCACATTTCCTGACTCCAGAGTCCCAGGAGATGATATATACGGTGGCGTTAAAGCCTCAGCACCAAATACGCCCCAGCAGGGCAACCTTGATGTCCTTCCCATCCCTCAACTCTCAGCTGCTAAAGCAGACGGGGCCAAGTTCAAATCCAAACTTCTGGTTCGTCTGGCCAAAGTCAATGGCTGCCACATCCCATAGGGGCAGAAAGCCCACTCGGGAAGAGCTGAACTCCAAGAGCGTCTTCGCCTGTCCCTTCCGGAGCTGACCGCAGGAAGACACAGAGGATCAGTTAGAGGCAGAGTGGGCAGAGCCTCCCTCCCCACTCCGGAGCTTCCTCCCTGTCCCCTTACCCGGCAGCCATCATGAGGGACCCTGATGGTGGCCGCTGCTGTCTCGTTGAAGGACAGCTCCTCCCCATTGGTCCCGAGGAAGCGGAGGGAGCGTCTGTGGTCACCTGCAGCTTCATCCAGCCAGGCGGCTGAGTTCTGGCAGGAGAAGATGAAGGTCTGGCGGGCAGCAGCACTTAGCAATTTTAGGAAGGTCAACTGGACCACGTTCACCGGAGACCCATCAGCATCCACGTAGGAGAACTAGGGCAGGGCAGGGGTGACAGTGCTCCATTGGCCACCGCTCTTTCCATGGGATCCACCTCCCAGAATCTCTCATCCAGTAGCACACCTGCCACTTCTCCCATGTCCTCATGTCTGGGGCAGACCAACCTACTGCCTAGATTCCAAAGAGACACCAAGAGCTTTTTTTTTTTTTTGCTTCCTTCTTTTTTCTTTTTTGGCAGTGCTGGGGTTTGAACTCAGGTGCTCTAGCACTTGAGCCACTCTGCTACCCTTTTTTTTTTTTTTTTTTTTTTTGAGACAGGGTCTCATTCTGAAGCCAAGGTTGGCCTTGAACTCACTAGGCTAGCCTAGGCTAGCTTCAAATCTGCAATCCTCCTACTTCCACCAACTGGGATCAGGCATGAACTTGGTTTCCTTCTTGTCCCTGTATTATCTCTTCACTCCTACACTGGTGTTTCCTGGAATCATCTCCCGGATAAAAGTACTTACACTTGAGTAAGTGTAAATCTGCTTTGGGGGAACCGCAAACCGAGATATGGTAAGACCCTTGTCTTAGGGTCTGCTTTGGAGGAAGCAAGCCAAGATATGATTGCATATCACACAGGTGTATTTGTATTCTCGGTAGCATTAGGAAGTGCATGGGGAGGCACAGGCAGGAGGACTGTCTCAAAAACCAAAAGGGTTACAGGCTTGGCTCAAATGGTAGAGGGCTTGTTTAGTGCATGAGACTGGCTTCCAGTCTACATCCCACACCAGCCTACAGACATTTGACCGGGGCCTCCCTCACTTGCAAACATTCCATGGCTCCCTACTCCCACAGGTTGCTCCTGGCATAGCCCTTCTCTACCCCTTCGTTTTTCCTATATTCCCTTTCACAGTCTATAGCAGAGTATGTGACTTTTCCTTCTTGAAATTCAGCACACCCTCTCTGGATGCTGAGCCTTTGCATATGCTATTCCCTCCCTTTAGAACACTTGTCCTTGTGCTTTCTAACTTGCTAACAGAACTCATTTTCTTTAGGTTTTGGATGAGCTGTGACCATCACCTGGAAGCTTTTAGGTCTTTCCAGCTGTGCCTCTGAATTTCTGCCATACCGTGCCCTTCTCCACCCCAGCATCGTTGCTCTGTGTGTGTGACTAACCCACTGTTACCCATCAAAGGTGGCCCCTCCCCATCTCCAGCCTGCGGTCACCAAGAAGGCAGAGGAAGGTCTGTCCTGTTTATCTCGCCCATCAGAGCCCCTCTCCCAAGCTCCCATGCTGAGTCCTACCAAATGTCATTCCACCCCCTCCCTCGGCCTCTGGTGACCCACCTTCTTCCCTCGTCGGAAAGTGCTGTACCAGTTTCCCGGCTTTTCCTTGGACCAGGAGGCCAGTTTCACCTGTGGGAGGGCGGAAAAGTCACTGTAGCAAAGGGGACGTGTGACTCTCATGTCCAGTCTGCATTTGCCTCCTCACACCGGAGGCTGTGGACGTGGATATCTCAGACTGTGCCCTGGCTGTGGAAGTCCCCTGGGCAGGTGCGCAAGGGGGCAGGTTCCCGCCCCCGAGGCCGCCCTCAACCAATGACTGGCGGGGCTGGTGCATAAATACCCCCAGCTCCTTGGCCCCGCCCGCGAGGCCGCCCTCAACCAATGACTGGCGGGGCTGGTGCATAAATACCCACAGCTCCTTGGCCCCGCCCCCGAGGCCGCCCTCAACCAATGACTGGCGGGGCTGGTGGATAACTATCCCCAGCTCCTTGGCCCCGCCCCCGAGGCCACCCTCAGCCAATGACTGTTGACTCCGCTCATCCATTGTCTTAAACTACTAAGCCTAGCGTTTGGTACAGGGAGGCTCAAAATTCCTGGATGAAAAATCCCAGCATTTCTAAGATCAGACTACATAGTGCCACCTCCCAGCCCACAGCCTAAAGGACAGTGAACCCATGGGGACTACTGGGTAGCGGATAGTGTGGCCAGGTAGTTGAAGTCTGAGACTCTGGAGCCAGGCTGCCTTGGACAATCTCAATATCATTCTGTGCCTCAGTTTCCCCCCGGGGGATGATGATCGAATTGGGATGAATGGCTGGGGATGTAGCTCAGTGGCACAGCATTTGGTCAGCATGTGCAAGGCCCTGGATTTAATTCCCAGCACCACAAAATAAATTAATAAGTAAATAAAAAGAGCTAGGTAACTGGGGCATAATAATGAATGGCACAAAGTCCTTGGAACAGGCATAATAACCCCTGTTTAAATACTGATTTAAACAGTAGAAAGTGTGCTCCATTGAAAGAGACTGGGGAAAGGCATTCTGGGCATTGACCCCAGGACCTTTGCACATGCTAGGCAAGTGCTCTACCAGGGAGTACACCCCCAACCCCTGAGATCTTCTTCTTGATCCGCTCTACTGTAGAGCAGGTGCTTTTGCCAGGGCTCAGCATACAGCAGGCTCAGTGCACATGGGTGGAAGGAAGGATGAGGCCAGGTGTGGATGGAACAGGGGACAGCCCTTCCTGGGGAGGGGGGTGACACCGTTTTAGCCACTCACGGTCTCAAACTTCTTGTCTGGATAGAGGCAGGTCTCTCCTCCCGCCGTGAAATTGCAGAAAACCCTGAATGCATCCTGCGCACAGCCCTGGTTGGGGTCAATCCAGTACTCCCCTGCGACAGAGGCAGACCCGACAGGTCTGAGTGGAGGCGGACCCTAGATACTCCTGTGCACCTCCTGGGGAGGGACCTAGACCTCACCATCTGGCAGGTGCGGGTGGTTGCGGTAAAGTTCATCACACACAAGACCTGGGCGCTCGGCTGTGCCTGGAGGTCTCCGCAGCTGCTCTACCTCCGAGCTCAGAGAGTTGAGTGAAGCCAGCACCTCCTCCAGGCCACCCTCCGGGGTGCCCAGGACTGCACGCCTGCGGCGCCTGCGCAATCCCTCAGGCAGCTGGGCTGGGGGACCCTGGGCATGGAGTGGAGATGGAGGAGTGGAGGGAGGAGATGCAGAAAGAAGAGACAGAGAGACATGGCAGAGGGAGAAGGAAGAGGAGGAAGAGGAGGGGAAGGGAAATAGAGTAGAACAAGTATTGAGATACAGACAGGTCAAGATCAGATGGAAAAACAAGGACAGAAAATTTGGATGAGGGGAACAGAGCAGAGCAGACAGACCCAGGTAAGAGCCCCCATTATTTCCCCACTAATCACAACCACCCAAAAGCTCAGGCTCTCCTGGGACTGTCAGGAACCTGCCTTCCCCACCTTACCCCGGAACACCTCGTGTCTGGGGGATGCCATGGGGACACCCCAACATAGTTCTGCCCTCCCCCCCTGACCTCAGGAAAACTTACAGGGGGGCCGGGGGGACCTGCAGGTCCAGTGTCTCCACGGGGACCAACGGATCCCTGTAAAAAGAAGTCACTTCCTGCTGAATTCTGTGTGTGGAAACCATGACCTGTCAACACATGCACAGAAACACACCCAGGGTGGGGGACCCCAAGGTTCAGTGCTCAGTGGAAGACATCCACTTCCTTTCCGTATCCAAAACCAACATCTTTGTGTCTTTGGCAAGTCACCGACTGGCAGAACTGTATTCTTTCTCAGCAGTTTATAAAATTAAGGTGCATCTGACCATGAATGGTATCTTACAGTCCACGAAATAGGGCATAGGTGTTGAATAAATATTAGTTGAATGCACGATTGGACGAATAGACAAAGGAAGGCAAGCAGAGACGAGGGTCTGGAGAAGCAGAGGGGGGTGGGGAGCTGGGATGGAGGGAGACCAGGGTGGCAGCTCCTACTCACCGGGGACCCCTTGGAGCCTTTCTGTCCCAGAGGGCCCTGTGGGGTAGAGAGAGGGAATGCTGGGGTCCTGCCTGGCCTTCCACAGTGACCCCCATCCCACAACCCACTCACCCCCATACTCACCGCCACACCTGGGGGCCCAGGGTGGCCCAAAGAGCCAGTGGGACCAGGGGAACCCTGGAGAAGGGACATCAGTCAGTATTAATGGGGTGCACCCCATTACCCAGACATCCTCCAGACAAGTCTTCAATCCCCTGAAATCTTAGACAAGTTTCCAATTCCCCTATAGAGACTCCCAAACTTCAGATGCAGCTTCCAAGCTGCAAGCTTCCAGATTCAGTCCTCCACCCCATTTTCCCCAAATACAACCCCTGCCATTCCAGACCCCACACCCACAGTCTCCAAACAAGTCCCCAGGCATATTCTTCCCTCTCAGGGCAGAGCACATACTCACAGGGTCTCCCTGTGGGCCTTGGGGGCCCTGCACACCTGGCAACCCTTGGTCCCCTTTCTCACCAGCCTCCCCAGGGGGACCAATGAGGCCAATTAATCCGATGTGGCCCTGGAGCACAAAGAGGCACAAGAGGGGGCCACAGTGGGGGAGATGCTGAGAGATTTTTCTCCTAGAGCCCCAGGGGTAATGAGAGCAGAGGACACCCCACTCTCCCAGCCCTCTGGCCAGGGAGGGAGGGAAAGTGTGGGGGAGATGTGGAGAAGAACAATGGAGTCAGGTAGTCTTACCTTTTCCCCTTTGAGGCCGGCATCCCCCTTCAGCCCTGGGAGGCCAGAGGGTCCCTAGGAAGAGACAAGTGTCACCTTGTGGTTTTCAGAGTGAAATCCCAAGGTCCATGTGGGTGGCTGAGAAATGGTCTATTGGAGAACTACTCAAATTTCCAAAGGGAAAACCCAGAGATGTGGTCATGGGGCAATCAAGGGATGATGGGAAACAATGGGGGGTTGGATGGAGAATGGCCAATGAGAATGGTAGAATCAGTGTGGTCAAGGTAGACCACCAAGATGGAGGGTCAGTGCTGAGCATGGTAGTTTGCACCTGTAATCCCTGCTTGGGTTACATAGCAAGACCCTGACTCAAAAAAACAAGGGTTGGGGGCATAGTTTCCATGACAGAGCACACTTGCCTAGCATGCACAAGACCCTGGGTTCCATTCCCAGAACAGGAAGGAAGGAAGGGGGGGAGGGAGGGAGGGAGGGAGGAAGAGAGGAAGGAAGGGAGGAAGGGAGGAAGGGAGAAGAGGAGGAAGGGAAGGAGGGAGGAAAGGGAGAAGAGAGGGAGGAGGAAGTGAGGAAGGAAAAGAAAGATGAGGAGTTGGTGTAGGTGGTCAGTGTCGACCATTAAGACAGAGGGTCAGATGAGATGGGTAGAAGAGATGCCAGTGTAGACAGATGAGTGGCCAGTGAGGGCCTGTACCATCAACACCCATAATCACTAGATGGTCACTGGATGGCCAGTGCAGTCCTCAGAGCTGAGACCTGAGGGACAAAGAAGTCTCTTACCAGGGGACCTGGAGGTCCCATCAGCCCAGGGGGTCCCAGGAGGCCGGGTTCACCCTGAGGATAAAATGGAACACGGGGGTGGGCTCTTCCCTGCCAGTCCCCAGTGTGGACGCCCACACCGCCCATCAGGAGAGACTCTGTCCAATTGTGATGAGGTTATGGGGGGTGGGACAAACAGGAAGGCACCTGAACCACCCCTGTCCCCTTCCCAGTGCCCATCCCACTCACCACAGGGCCAGGGATCCCTGGGAGACCCTCAGGCCCAACACGTCCAGGGGGCCCCTGAGCCCCCACTGGGCCTGTCTTCCCTGGGGGCCCATCAGGACCTGGATCTCCCTGAAATGGACAGAGGTGAGGGAGGCACAGAGACTCACAGGGGGCCAGCTGCTGCCTCCAGCTCAGAGTCAGCCCAGCTGCTGATGGAAGAGGGGTGTCCATGCAGGGACCCCCTTCCAGGGACAGGGACTCACCTTGGCACCTTTCTCTCCCTCTCTGCCTTCTGGGCCCACGCGGCCTGGCGGACCCTGAGGAGAAGAGTGTGAGAGGGGCCCTTGGGGTGAGTGAGGGATCTGGGGTGACTGGGAGCTGTGGGGTGATTGACTCATGACTGGAACAGGGTAGCTAGGAAGTGAGTGTCACTTACCCTTTTGCCAGGGGGCCCACGGGCACCAGGTTCCCCAGAAGCACCGGGCGGTCCCTGTAGAGACAGGGCAATGGGATGAGTATGGCTGTGACCTCATGCCTTGGGCCAGAAGCCAGCCTCCCCCAGACACCACCTAGCACCAGCCATCTCCCTCCCCTTCCTTAAGCTGCTCATACTCATGGGGGCCCCAGGGAGGCAAAGCAGGAGCACCAGCAGGCACTGGGTACCCACTTCCACTATCCAAGCCCCCTGGGCCCCCAATTCACCCATCACCAGCCCCACCCTGTTCCCCCACTCACCGGACCCCCAATATCGCCATGATCTCCCTTTTCCCCAGGGGGGCCATCAGTACCCTGCAGGGGTTGGGAGGGGGGACATAGAGTTGGGGTGGGGCATGGGGGTACCCCATGAGGATTTGAAGGACAGAGAGGGTTATCTGCTCCAGACCTTGTTCAAGTCTGGGGGTAGCGGTGGAAGGACAGAATTTGGGAAGACAGTGGGCTGTGGGGGAGGGGCTATACCCACCAGAACTCCAGGGTCTCCTGGGGGCCCTAGGTCTCCGGGGAGCCCTGTGGGGCCCTGGAACACAAAACAATTCATAATCACATCTCCCAATTCGTGATTACTCGTTCATTTATTGAACAGATATGCACTCCTAGTTCAGGTTGCACATTACTGAACAAAGCACGAAGTTCCTGTGCTGGTGGCACAAACACTCTGGTGTTTTGAACTCAGGGCCTCACTGTTACTGCGCGGCACTCTCCCACTTGAGCCACTCCATCAGCCCTTTTTTTGTTTGTGAATGTGCATATGTTATGGTATTTTTGAGATTAGGGCCTTGCCCAGGCTGGCCTCCAACCACAAACCTCCTGATCTCTGCCTCCTGAGTAGCTAGGATTACAGGCGTGAGCCACCAGCACCTGGCACATTCTGGTGTTTAGTGGGTGCAGGCCCTAAGCTAAGAACATTCCATGCATTATCTCACATCACCCTCCTGTCACTGCCCAGCTGGGGATTCAAGGGATTATGGTGGCGAGATGCAAATTTAGTTCCCATCGATGCTCTGACACTCCTGCCCCACACCCTGAGCCCCACCTAGATGGTGGAGGGCCTCAGCCTGCATCCTTATGCCAAATAATTAGCCCCAGCTCTGACCCAACATTAACCTTGACCTCTACCACATCATCAGACAGATCCAGTGTGAAGATGGTTACCTGGATGTGTAACCATTGCTTGCTTGCCTCATTCACTCATTCATTCACTCGTTTATGTTCCAGCTTGTTCGTAGGATCAGTAAATTTCAGGAGGGGACTCCTGATCTAAAGTTTGGGAATACTACTCAATTGTCCCCAGTTTTTGCTGTCACCACCCCACCTGAACTTACCATGCTCCCTTTGGGTCCATCCTCTCCAGGGGGGCCTTTCTTGCCTGGGGGTCCAGCAGCCCCAGATGGACCTGAGTCCCCCTTTTCACCAATTTCACCTTTGGGCCCCTTTGCAAAGACAGAGGTCAGAGGTCAGAGGTGGGAGTGGTTCAGTCTCCAGGGAACCACTTGAATTCAGGCATCACATGGTCTGGGATAGTTCTGGGGTCAGAGTTGCCTAGGCAACCCATGAGTCAGAGGTCAAAGAGACCTAAGACTAAGTCAGAGGTATGGATGATGCAGTGACCCACTGGTCAAGGGCAAGCTTGATGTAGTCTATGCCCTCCTTTGGGGGGTCTCTATGCAACTTATCCCCAAGCCAGGGTTCATGGCTTGCATTTGAACCCCCAGATGCCCCCTCACTACTACACTCCTGTGCAGTGTACAGTCTGTAGAACTGTACATAGAAGCCCTCTCCAAGATCTTCCAGAGGATTTTTTCATCACAATAATGGGGGATGTGCATAGGTCTGTGGATGACCTATGACCCAGAGGTCAAGGTGCACAACATACCAAGGGATTAGGGGTTCCCTGAGATGGGTACAGGGGCCACATCACAAAGACTCACTGGGATACCGGGAGTTCCTGGGGGTCCTGGGTCTCCAGCATCCCCTGGCTCACCCTGCAGGGGGCAGAGAGTGAGTGGGGAGAGGTCCCATCTGGGCAGACAGAGAGGAGATCCCCAGAAAAGCCACCCCCAGTATGGCAGGTTTCACCTCCCCCACCCCATGCAGTCCTCTTCCGCCCCTCTCACCTTCTCACCCACAGCTCCTGGCTGGCCAACCCCTCCAGGCAGCCCAGGAGAGCCCTGGGAGACAGCAAAGGGGGAGACAAGACATTGGGAGCCTGACAACCTCTTCACAGAAAATGGGGTTTCCCACTCCAAGCCATCCTGCCTGCCCCGGAGTGCTCACCTCTGATCCACTGGGGCCATGAGGACCCCGAGGGCCTGGAGCTCCATGCGGACCCTGTGAGAGGACCGGAACAGTATACAGTGACCCTCATCCCCCCCTAAAGGCTGAAGTAACCACACACACCTTTAAGTGTACAGGAGCCTTAAAAATGACAGGGTCCTCTATGAACCCCTAGATGGTCAGCCCGCCCCTCCCTCCACCTTTCCCTGGGAGTCTGGCATACCATGGACCCTACGTCTCCAACTTCCCCTTTCTCTCCAGGAGGGCCTGGCAGCCCCTGTGGAACAAAGAAGCAAGAAGGTTGGGGTGCAGGGTGTGGGGAATCAGGTAGCACCCCCAGACCTAAGCACCTACCTGCAGGCCTATGGGGCCAATTACACCCACAAAGCCTCTGATGCCTTCATTTCCCTTTTGCCCGAAGAGGCCTGGGGGTCCAGGGCGTCCCTGAGCCCCATCTGCTCCCTAGGATGAAGATGGGCAAGACAAAGTTGGGGTTCCATTCAAAGGTTAGAGCTAGGGTCAAGGTCAAGGGTCAGAATTGGGGTAAGGGTTGGGTGAGTTCAGGAATGGAGTCATGAGCAGGGTTCCCATGGGTTTGAGATGGATTTTAGGGTTAGGTTTCAGACTGGGATCTGCTGTCTTCCAAAAGTTCACATGTTGAAAACTTAATCCCCAAATTCATGTGTTAATGAATGTGGAGGTGAGGCCTTGGGGAGGTCATCAGAACTACATGAGGTCACAAGGGTGGGGCCCCTGTGACAATATAACTGGCTTTATAAGAAGCAGAAGAGACCTGAGCTGTCACCATGCTCTATCTCTCCATAGGACACCCTCTACCATGCTGTAAAGCAGCTGGAAACTCCCACCAGACACCAGAGCCAAGCTCTGGGACTTCCCAGCCTCCAGAACCATGAAGCAAATAAACTTCTAGTGTGTGCATGCGTGCGTGCGTGAGTGCGTGGGTACGTGTGTGCGTGCAGGGCTGGGGATGGAACTCAGGGCCTCACACATGCTAAGCAAGTGCTCTACCATGGAGCTACACCTGGCCCCTAAACCTCTGTTAGTTATAAGTCACCCGATCCCAGGTATTTTGTGATAGCAACAGAAAGCTGAGTAAGACAAAGCTAGAGTCAAATTCAAAGTTCGAATTCAGATTTGGGTTCAGCACTGGGGGTGAGGCTGTGGTTGGGGTGACGGGCAGCACTCAGCTAGGGTTTGCTAAAGTAGAGGAGTTGAAGATAAGGCTTCTGTTGGGGTTGAGGTCAAAGTCACGAGCAGAGTTGAGGCTGGAGTTGAGTTCATGGTGGATGTTAGCCTGAGACTGAGGTTGGGATTCAGTCCTGCTGAGGACCACGCTCCCTTGCCATCGGGGACCTAAGGAGCATCACAAAGCGGGAGACTCACCGGGAGGCCTGGGTGTCCCACAGGACCCCGTATTCCTGTCGGTCCAGGTGGGCCCTAGGGAAACAAACAGAATAAAAAAAAAAAAACCCTCAGTTGTCAGGCATGGTGGCACCCACTGCTCAGAATTTGGAAGGCTGAGGCAGAAGGATCAAATTCTAGGCCAGCCTGGACTACTTAGTGAGATCCCATCTCAAAAGCAAGAAAAGAAAAGAGGAAGTGGGGGGAGGAAGTGAGAAGAGAAAATTCCCTCAGGTTCCACATTGGGGCAGGAGTCATCAATACCTCCCTGCCCACACCCCATTATTAGAAAAACTGCCCCCACCAGGAAGTGACAGCTACTACGCCCAAGCCTGACTTCCTAGACACCAACTGATGGGGACAGAGTGGCCTCAGCAATGCTGTCACTGACCTCATGGGGGACAGCTGGGATTTGAAAGCAGATGGAAGCATAGCCACCAAGGAAAAACAGAGGGGAGCAGAGTGCTAGGTTCCCCGGTGTCTTTCCAGATCTCTTGGGGCCCCAACTACCCAGTCTGCAGGTGGCTCAGTGGCCCCCTTAACTCCAGGGAGTTTGAGCTGCTAGTGCTGCATGGGGGAGGTGGAGCCTTTGAGATCTGATTGATTACATGAGGTCCCGAGGGTGGGGTCCCCAGGATGGCATTAGCGGCTTTATAAGAAGTGAGAGAGAGACTCAGTGTCTTGCCACGAGGCTCAGCGAGACAGGCAGCCCACGCCCATCTCCACATCCCCGGCCCCCTTTCTCCTCCCCTGAGGACCACTCCTCACTGCGACCCCACTCACCGCATCGCCCTTGTCACCTTTGCTCCCTTTGTGTCCGGGGGCACCCACTTCCCCCTGTGGAGGAGACAGGTGAGGGAGGACCCAGCCCCTGCCACCCTGAACTCCTTCCCTAGACCCAGCCTCTTAGGGAGCCCCTCACCTTGTCCCCTTCCTCGCCAGAAGGTCCAGCAGCTCCAGGGGGTCCCTGAAGCCCCAGTGGCCCTGGAATCCCATCTTTGCCAGTGGAGCCAGGGGCTCCGCGCTCTCCCTGATGGGGGGAGTGAAAAGGGGGTGTCAGGGCTGGAATGGTCTACATGAGTGGGTCTGTAGGATGCTGAGGGATGGGGGGAAAACACTTACCGGGGACCCCTTCTCGCCTGCAGGACCTACAGGGCCTTGACCTCCACTTTGGCCAGGAAGCCCAATGCCACCTGATGGGCCCAGAGGACCCCGCTCACCAGGGGAGCCCTGAAAACGGGTAGGGGTTAAGAATAATACACTAATAATGGCTTTCACTTATGGAGAGGTTTTTGGTTTTGGGGGAGGTTTTGTTGTTTTTGGTGGGATTGGCATTTGAACTCAGACCTTTGCACTTTCAAAGCAGGAGCTCTACCACTTGAGCCACACCTCCAGTCCAATTTGTTCTGGTTATTTTGGAGATGGGTCTCACAGACTATTTGCCTGGGCTGGCCTCAAACCACAATCCTCCCCATCTCAGCCTCCCAAGTAGCTAGGATTATAGGAGTAAGCCACAGGCACCTAGCTATGGAAAGTTTTTAAGTTGACAGGCCCTGAGTTTCACCTACACCATCATGTCTTCTCTGCTCCCAACTCTACAAGAGCCAGAAGGTGCTCACAAGCAACCAAATTGGGACTCATCCCTCCTCTGTTCACAGCCCTCCATGGCTCCCACAACACCCCACACCTACTGCCCATCACCTTCTTACCCTGGTCTTCCTGCTCACTCACTCAGCCCCAGCCACACAGATCTCCTCGCTGTCCCTCAAATACTCCAAGCACAGTCCTGCCTCAGGGCCTTTGCACATGCTGTTCCTTCTGCCTGGAACACTCTTCCCTGATCTACACGGGGTTCTGTCCTCATCTCCTCCAGGTCTCAGCTCAAATGTGACCTCTCAGGGAGGCCTTCCCTGACTAGGCTATTTAAGTTGTTCTTCTTGCTGGAAGCCAGTGGCTCACACCTACAATCTTAGCTACTTGGGAGTAGGGATTTGGAGGATTGGAGTTCGAAGTCAGCCTGGGCAACGAGGTTGTAAGATCTTATCTCAAAAAATACACAACACAAAAAAGGACTGGAGGAGTGAGTGTCTCAAGTGATAGAATGCCTGCCTTGCAAGTGTGAGGCCCTGAGTTCAAACCTCAGTACCAACAACAAAAAAGATTAGCAACTTTAAAGTGAACAATACAGGTCATCCTCAAGGATGGCCCTTTGACCTTGGACCAGAACCATGAGCTAAATAAAACTTTATTTCTTTATAAGGTTATCCAGCCTCAGGTGTTTCAATATAGTAACATGAAACAGACAAATACAGATGGATCAGGCCACTGAGCATATGAGAGAGGAAGTCTTCTAGCAGCTATTTTATAGATGAAGAAACTGAGGCTCACTGAGTGATACAACTACACGGCCAATGGGGGGGCAAAACTCAGTGTGGCCTCAGACCTGTCTGACTCCAAAGATGACAGGCTCTATCATGGATGCCCCAAGTTCCCTCCACCACACTCCCCACTCAGCAGATGAGGTTACACTTACATTGGCTCCAAGAGGGCCAGGAGGGCCCTTATCACCCTTCAAACCAACAGGACCCTGAGGGAGGAAAGGATTCAAAATCAAAAAACCCCCAAGAAAGCCCCCAAGTCCTGTGTTCACTCTGAGGTGCTCAGTCCCTGGCCCCTTCCTAGGACTGGGCCCTGGGCTTTGGGTTCTGGCTCCCATGGGCTCCTCCTCCCACTGTTCTTTTGTGCAGTTACCTCCATGGTACCATCGCGCGGCCCCACCCAGTCCCTCTTCCTTCTCCCTTCCACCCACCAGCCAGGCACATCCAGGAGGGGCTCCAAAGATACTCACTGGGTCCCCTGGGGCTCCTTGGGGACCGGGGAAGCCCCTGGGTCCAGGTGACCCCTCCTTCCCGAGAGGCCCAAGGGGTCCTAGTTCTCCCTGCAGAAGTACAAGAGAGGGAGGTCAGGCTGCAGAGATGGGGTGTCTCCGCCACCCCCAATCTATGACTCTGGGCCCCTCCCCCACAGGGTGGAGTCCAAGTCCTGAGGTGGCATGATGGCCACCAAAGGGACTGTGTGGGGCTGCTCCTCCAAGCTCTCCCATGGGGACACAGCTCACCTTGGCCCCCTCTCTGCCTTCCAGACCTGGAAGACCCTGTTCCCCAGGAGGTCCAGGAGGGCCTGGGGGTCCCCTCTCGCCCAGAGGCCCCGCGTCTCCTGTCTTTCCCTGGAGAGGAAGACAGTGCCTCATGAGTGGGGGTGACTTGGGGGGTCCATCAGAGATCCACCTCTCCCCAAGGCCCCACAGTGAGTTCATGGGGTCCACTCTGACCTGAGGACCCAGAACGCCAGCTGGTCCAGGTGGGCCTGTCTGACCTTGGAAGCCCTGGGAAGATAAAAGAAAGTGTCAGAGGGAGGAGCTAATGAAGTCAGGGTCACAGGTCAAAGGGTCACTTACCAATTCTCCTCTTGGTCCGGGGTGCCCTGATATCCCGTCTTTCCCCTGAGGACCCTGGGTGACAAAGTGTGAGAGAGTTGGGGTGTAGATACAGAGTCTCCCCCTCTTGCTTCCCCTCCCACCTGACCCCCAATCAGAGGGTGACCTCACTCACAGGGGGGCCTTTTGGCCCAGGGAATCCTGGGGGTCCTTGTGGACCAGAGAGGCCCTGAAATGGAACAAAAAATCATTATTTCATGTCCCCCCCCCCATTTTGTGCTCCACAAAATGACATCAAAAGCTAGGCTCCAGTGGCTCACACCTTTAGCCCTGAGTTGAAAACTCAGTTCCAAAAAAAAAAAAAAAAAGCTAGCTCACAGGCACAGTAGTTCACGCCTGTAATCCCAGCACTCTGGAGTTTGAGGCAGGAAGATCAAAAAATTTAAGGCCAGCTTGAGCTACATAGTGAGACCCTATCTCAAAACAAATAAATAAAAGCTAGCACCTATTGAGTGCTTACTGCATGCCAGACATGGGACTGAGCACTGTCCAACAAACAGGTCATTCCATTCTCCACTATAGTCTATTTTACAGCAGAGGAAATTCAAGCACAGAGAGGTTAAGTGACTTGCCCATGGTCACACAACTGGCAAGGGGCAGATCAAGGACTGACTTTAGAATCCCACGCTTGCACGCACGCACACACACAGTCACCTTTTCTCCAGGAATCCCAATGGACCCGTCCTGCCCCACGTCGCCCTAGGACGGAATAAATGAGACTCAAGCTGCAGAACAAACTCAACTGGGGAGGACTGGGAGGCTGGTGAGTGACAGACAGGCTGCCTGGGGAGGTTCCATTCATCCACCCATCCCATACCTTGGGGCCTGGTTGTCCTGTGGCCCCCGGCTGCCCCCTCTCTCCACGGGAGCCCTGCACACACACACACACAAAAGGCAAAGAACACAAGTGAGAGGTGCAGGAGCCAAGGAGATGACACCAAGCCCAGATGCCTCCCTCTGGGACCCCTCTCCTGCCTCACCAGGGACAGGGACAAAACCCGAGCCCTGCCCCACCCATCCTCCGCTCTCCACCATCTCCCCTCTCCCAGCCCTGACCCCCCCCAAGACCCAGCAAGGTGGGAGCTTTTCTTACTGGTGGTCCCCGCTCTCCTTCTTGTCCTGGTTGCCCTGCCTTCCCCTAAAAAGCAAATAGGAGCAAGAAAAAACAAAGTCAGGATGCAAAGCATGATAGATGCACAGATGAATCCCCAAAAAGATGTCTGCCACACATTTATTCACAAGCCTTTCAGATACACACATGCCTTTGTGCTCACAACCACACAAAGACCTCATACACCCAAGCCAGGCATGGTGGTGCATGCCTGTAATCCCAGCTACTTGGGAGGTGGAGCATGGAACCCTATAAGAACAAGGCCTCAAAAAACCCATTTGCCCAGTTATAACACAGAGCAATACAATGCATCATGCTACACCCTAGGTGCATGCACACGTGGGTGACGGTCGTGCAAGGTGCACGCAAGTCCACGCACAAGGCCACAGGCTGCACCACACAGAGCCGGCTCGAGCTACATGAGAATACGAGACATGTGCACACGCGTTCATAGGCCCGTGCGTGATAATCCCGGGTGTGATCACTTGTGGGCTCCCTGCAGGGCACACGGGATTGTGGCTGCACACAAGGACTTTCCAAGCACAGACACAGTCACGAGCACCCACCCACCATCACGCTCAAACGCATGCTGTTCCCCCCCCCCAGGCTAGCCCTTCCCTCTCCCCGGGTCACACAACTCACCCGCTTTCCTTTCTCTCCTAATGGACCCAGGGGCCCGGGAAATCCAATCGACCCCTGAGTGAGTGGAGAGAATCAGAGGCCAGTGACCAGGCTTTTCAGTGGCTTCCTTGAGTCCCTCCAGCCCCAACCTCCTCCAAAGCAGCCATCTGCCTCCTCTCTCCCCTTCTCACTCCACTCCAGCCACACTGGCCCTCACGGCTCCCCATGGAGGCAACAGCATTCCTGCCCCAGGACCTTTGCACTGGCTGTTCCCTTTGCCCAAAAGGTTCTTCTCCCAGGTCTCCACATGGCCAGCTGCTCACTCAGACCTCATCGAGATGCCCTTGTGCCACCATCTTGAACATCAGCCCCTCCAAGTCACCCTCAGTCTATCACAAAACAGCCTTTCCTATGCTATTTGTTGTTTCTCAGAATACTCAAATTGAAATGAGCTTATACAGTTTCTTGCTTGTTTAACGTCTGTTTAGCACAGAGATGTCAGCAATACCTTCCTCGCAAGGTCTGGTGAGGATTCAGTAGGGTCATAGAAAGTTCTTCACCTGCTGTTTGGTACACAGCAAGTGCTCAGGAAGTTCTAGCTGCCTGCTATAATTTGGATGCATCTCCAATGTGTTAAAAGCTGGGTCCCCAAGGTGATGCTATTGGAAGGTGCTATGGCCCTTTAAGAGGTGGGGTCTAAACTGGGTGTGGCTCACACCTGTAATCCTAGTCACTTGGGAGGCTGAGATCTGGAGGATCTTGGTTCAAGGCCAGGTTGGGCAAAAAGTTAGAGAAATCCCATCTCAGCCAATAAAAGCTGGGTGCGGTGGTGTGCACCTCTCATCCCAGCTAAGCAGGAAACATAAATAGGAGGGTCACAGTCCAGCCTGAGCAGGGCATAAACAGTGAGACCCTATTCGAAAAATAACCAAAGCAAACCTGGCTGGAGATGTGGCTCAGTGGTAGAGTGCCTGCCTGGCAAGTGCAAGGCCCTGAGTTCAAGTCCCAGTACCACAAAAACGAAAACAGAGGTGTGGCCTAGTGGGGCATGGCCCTGAGGGGGATTGATGAAGTTCGGTCTCTCTCCCTCTCTCTCTCCTTCTCCTCAATTGTGGACTGGAACCTCCAAAACCATCAGTCAAATAAGCAGTCTCTTTTGTGTTAATTGTGTCAGTAAAAGTAACATGAGGCTGATTAACACACTCCTGGTATTGTTTTTGGTGGTACTGGGATTGAACCCAGGGCCTTGAACTTGCTAGGCAAGGGCTCTACCACTTGAGCCCCTCCCCAGCCCCATTATTGTAATTTATGATGACTGAAACTGACCTTGACTTAACCAAGGTCATGACTGTCGTAAAACGCATTGCTCAATGTCCAGTATGCCCTGACTGGCCTCTCCCAGGGAGCGTCTCTCAAACTCCCACGGACATCTGCTATGTAAATGGAGCTATACTTAGCGACAGTGCCTTGAGTTTCTTCCAAACCTGTTTGTGTCCTTTATCCGTGCCATTGGGGTCATGTGACTTCATGAAAATTTATAAGAACTGATGAAATATAGATAGGAAAAGAAAGACGGCTATCCAAACTAAATTGTATGGAAAGGACTCAGTCTAAAAGAAAGCCATTTTTAAAAAGCTGCAGTCAAGTCAGGCATCAGTGGCTCATGCCTGTAATCCTAGCTACCCAGGAGGCAGACATCAGGAGGTTTGTGATTCGAAGTCAGCCCAGGCAAATAGTTCATGAGACCCTATCTTGAAAAACCCTTTACAAAAAAGGGCTGGTGGAGTGGCTCAAGTGGTAGAGGGCCTGCCTAGCAAGCGTGAGGTCCTGAGTTCAAGCCCCAGAGCTGCCAAAAATATAAATAAATGAGTAGTAAAATAAAAAATAAGAAGCTGTAGTGGAATTAGGTATCGGCAAGATACCAACATTAGCTCAAAACAGCAAAACTATGGAAGCTCTGGAAGAATTCTGTCCTTAAATTTCATTCCCAAGTATCTTTAAGGTCCTGAACTACTTTACATATAAACAGAGATGACAAATTACCCACGATGTATATGGGTGTACTAGGCAGAAACATAAATCCCACAGGTCACCTCTTCCATCAAACCATTGGCAAAGAGATGCGGGACTTCAGTAAATATATTTCTGTGTAAGTACATTTCAGTGATGCTATAACTGATTCAAGATAAGTAAGATCTGTATTTTTTATGGTTCTCTCTTGTTTTGATTTTGACGTGGGTTGTTCCCCAAGGGTCCATGTGATAGACTCTTGGTTCTCAGTGCAGCAGGATTGATGTAGTGGGACCTTTAAGAGGTGGGGCCTAGGACCGGAGGCGTGGCTCAAATGGTAGAGCAGGTACCTGCTGTGCAAGCCTGAAGCCCAAAGTTCAAATCCCAGGCCAACCAAAACAAGAAAAAGAAAAAGAGGCGGGGCCTAGTGGGAGGTCTTTAGGTCATTGGGACTGATGGAAAGGGATTAATGTAGCTCTCCTAGGACCCCAGCTAGTTACAATGACAGGATGTTATAAAACGCAAGGTTGGCCCCTCCCCTCTCTCTACTCCCTGTCTTCCCTCTCACACGTGCTCCTGCCACAATGTCATCTACTAAGATGGGGGTGCAAGCAGGTGCTAGAAGCTGAATCAAAGGGCAAACTAATACTGGACTGTCAGTCTCCAAAAACTGTGAGCTAAACTAACCTCTTCACTTTATAAAGTACCAAGCCCCAAGTGTTTCATTACACCAACAGAAAACAGACTAATACATCCCTCTTCACTAACTTGGTTTTGATGGAGCAGCCTCAGTCACACCAAATAAGGATAGAACAATTTTATCATCACCACCATCACCAAACTAATAAGGCAGGTAGTACTGGTGATCTCCATTCTGAGGCTGAGAAAATGGGCTAAGAGGCTGCTCAAGGTTACATAGCTGGGAAGGATTGGTTTGGAGCTCAAGTCCATCAGAGGTCAAAGCTAATATTTTACATTCTTCACTGACCCCGGGGGTGGACAGCTCACCCCTCAGACCAGAGCATGGACCCCCCCCAGATATTAGTTTCTCTCCCTGCTCCTGCCCACCTCCAGATCCCAGGCTTCTTACCTTAGGTCCAGGGCGGCCTGGGTAACCTGGGAGACCTGGCACCCCAAGCTTGCCCTACAGAGAGATTATGAGACAAAGGTCAAACCAGGCAACCTGGAGGTCAGAAGGGAAAGGTAGGAGGTGAGCACAGTTTAGTCACCTTTTCCCCAGCTGCTCCTGGGGGACCCTCCTCGCCCACCAGCCCCTCAGGCCCCTTTGGCCCCTCAGGACCATCCTCTCCTCGGGGACCTGGGGGTCCTGGTTGCCCCTGGAATAGAAAGAAAAGGACTTGATAGCAGTCATTTGTACTTATTGCTCCCCTGAGCCCCCATCTTTGCCCCTCTCATCTTCCCTGAGCCCCCCAGACCCACACAAGCCTTCATCAAGATCTCATCTTACCCGATCGCCTTTCAGTCCCCCATCACCCTTGAAGCCAGGGAAACCATCTTCTCCCTGGATAAGAGAGAGAAGGGGATAGAAGTCAGGCTTCCGCAAAGGGACACAGTCAGGGCCCCGTGGTGACAGGGACTCCCGCCCTCCAACATATCCTCTTTCTTCTCACCGTCTCGCCTTTCTCTCCTTGGAGGCCCCGGTTGCCAGAGGTACCCTGAAAAATAAAAGAATGCTCTCAGCCTCCTTCCCTGCTTAAGAGGGTTCCAGACTCAGTCTTTTGCTCCCAAACAGCCAGAATGGTCCCAAGAGGACACTGGAGCTGAGTGGGGTGGGGACAGCGTGGGAGGAAATGACTGCCCCCAGCGCACATTACTGAGATTTGTGGGGGCTGTCTCCCCTCCCCCACCTCTGACAGCCTGCCAAGGTCATTTGTGTGGGGTGAGCAGGGAAGGCCAAATTTCCAAGTAATGGAGTCCTGTTTCCCAGGGACACTGTGTCCACGGTTCCTTCTGACAAGAGAAGGAAAAAGGACATCCCAGATTCATTAGGAAGGGAGAGGAATGTTCCCCACTGTGCTAGCTGCAAGGAGACTCTGCCTGGTGACAAAGAGGCTGTTGGGGCAAGCCTGGACTTCCTCCTCACACCAAACTGAACATTGCATTTGACTACATGAGCTTGCACTTGGATACAGTGTGACGATGTGTTTCCAAACAGCATGAGGGTTGTGCCTAAGGTAACTTACTCAACCACAATGTAACTAAGCTCGGCTACAGTTGTCTTCTTTTCTCAGCTACAATGTAACAAGATCCAGCTACAAGATCGTGGTCCTCCCTTGTCTGCAGGAGCCACATGCCAAGAATCCCTAATGGGTGCTTGAAGTCACCTGTATATAGTATTATTCTTCTTTATACCTACCTATGGTAAAGACTGACTTATAAATGAGACAGAGATGAACAATAATAAGTAATAATAAAATAGAATTATACTGTTTAAAAAGTTATGTGAATGTAGTCTCCCTTTCTGCCAAAATCTCTCTCTCTCTTTCTCTCTCTCTCTCTTTCTCTCTCATTTTTTGAGACAGGGTCTCTTTTTGTATCCTCTTTCTTTTTGAGCCCAGGCTGGCCTCAAAACTCACAATCCTCCTTACTCAACCTCCTAAATGCTGGGATTATAAGAAGCATGCCACACTTATAGGTATTAAGTATTTTGGCCCAAAATACCTAATTGTATTTTTTACCTTTTCACTTGAAGGAAGCACTTCAAAGCTTCTCTTTGGCATATCTAATTTTCCAACATCACTCCTCTTGCACTCCAGAGTGCCATTATTAAGTAAGTATTAAGTTGATCTGATAACCAAGACAACCACCAAGTGACTAACAGGGAGGTAGCATATACAGGGTGGATACTCTGGACAAAAGGATATTTCACCAGGCAGGATGGAGCAGAATGGCATGAGATTTCATCACACTGCTCAGAATTATGTATAATTTAAAATTCATATACTGGGGCTGGCCAAATGACTTAAGTGGTAGAGCACCTGCCTAGCAAGCATGAGGCCCTGAGTTCAAACACCAGTACCATCAAAAAAACCCCAAAAAACCTCATGAATTGTTTATCTCTGGAAATTTCCATTCAATATTTTCAGACTGGTGTTTTACTCTGGGTAATGGGTGTCTCAGAAAGTGAAACTGCAGGTAAAGGAACTACTACTGTCTGTGTAACTGTGCCTGGCCACCATGTCCCTCTGAGTTTGGGTGCCCATGGGACATGGTGGCCAGATAGAATCCAGCAACCTCCTTCATTATAGTGACTCTGAGCTTGTCCATAATACAAAGTGCAAGAAGCTGGCTTTGGCTACATTGCACTGTTTTTAGACAACAGGTAAACTGTACCTGTTCTTGGGTACAGTGTAACTGGCCTCCATGGCCATATGGACATGAAGCCAGTGACCCTGAACTTGGAACAGTGTCTCTCTGTTGAGCCACAGTGCGCTTGCTCTTGGTTTATTTCAGCATATCGTGCTTGTAGATAACACGGCTGCAGGCTTGGGTTATAACAGAACCTCCACTTGACTACAATGTGCCACATGTGTTTATAGCAAAGTGTCTTAATGGATGCAGCTGTCCTTAATGTCAAGGTGACAACTACACTGTAAGGCTGTCCCTTGGCTGTTCAGCTCCCAAGAAACACAGACACTTCTCTATACAGTCAGCCCTGCATACACTCAGGTCCCATGTCTGCAGATTCAAACAAATGCAGATGGAAAATACTAAAAAAAAAAAAAAGTTTCATCTGGCCAGGTGTGGCAGCTCACACTTCTAATCCTAGCTACTCAAGAGGTGGGGATTGGGAGGATCTCAGTTCAAGGCCAGCTGGGGCAAAAAAAAAAAAAAAGTTAAAAGATCCCATGTCAGTCAATAAAAATCTGGGTGTGATGGTGGCACCTGTCATTCCAGCTACTTGGAAAGCATAAATAGAATCTTGGTCCAGGCCTGCCCGGGTATAAACGCAAGATGCTATCTCAAAGATAACTAAAGCAAAAGGGCTGGTGGAATGGCTCAAGTGGCAGAGCACCTGCCTAGCAAGTGGGAGGTCCTGAGTTCAAATCCCAGTGCTGCCCAAAAAACCCTGAAAAAATTGCATTTATATTGAACATGTATAGACTTGTCCTTAATTCCTAAACAACACAGCAGGACAAGTACTTAACGTGTTTACATTGTAGCAGGCATTTAAAGCAGCTAGACATAATTGGGTAGGTTATTTGCAAATACTATGTCTTTACATAAATGACTTGTGACTCTGTGGATTTTGGTGTCTCTGAGGGTAACCAGGGACAACTGTACTGTTGCCCCCACTCAAACCTTACTGCCACTACATCTGGCCCAGCCAACTGATTCCTCTCTACACATTTAGAAGTTTCTATTTGAACTGCTTCCTTGAGCCAATGGTGCCCAAAAGCCCCCAGGTGTTGCCTACCTTGACACCCCGAGGTCCAGGATAGCCTGGAGGGCCTGCCGCCCCTGGTGAACCCTGAGAGGAAGAGAAGGTCAATGTCATCCTTTTTTGCTCCCTCCACATTCCTGATGTCCTTGTAGCTGTCCTCTCTGGCCCCTGACTCTCAGCCCTGCCACCCACCCTCCTCCTCCTGGTCACTCACCTGGGCCCCTTTTTCTCCTGTGGGACCCTCATGGCCCGGGTGGCCCTGAAGGAGAAACATGCTTTTTATCATCAGAGACCAAAATTCACCAGCCGAATTCCCAATCCTCCCCCTTCACCTCCCACCTCGTGACAGCCCTGGTACTCACCGGAGGACCATCAGCTCCTGGGGGACCTGGAATTCCTGGGTTTCCAGGGGGGCCCTGAAGGAAAATCACAGAGGGTCTCAGGGCCCTGGATTTCCACTAGGAGCTGGACAGTGCCACCCAGACAGACAGCTGAGTCAGAGCTAGGGAACAAGTCACTGGCCAGGAAAGCTATTCCAGTTCTGCCTAGACTTGCTGTGTGACCCTGGGAAAACCCTTGCCCTCTCTGAGCCTCAGAAATCCTCCTCCTCTGGGAGAATCAAAAGAAGGGATATAAAATGAGTGTGGGGGGGCTGGGGTGTAGCTCAGTGGTAGAGCGCTTGCCTAGCATCCTCAGCACTGCAAAAGAACAGCAGTATGAAAAATGTGTTAGGATTGGGGGGTGGCTCCCCAGCCAGCCACATCCCTTTCTTTAAATGTGCCTCCCAGTCTACTTAAAAAGCTGGACATCGATCTACCATTTGATCCAGCAACACCACTCTTGGGGATATACCCAAAAGACTGTTACTCCAGAGGCACCTGCACACCCATGTTTATTGCGGCACTATTCACAATAGCCAAGTTATGGAAACAGCCAAGATGCCCCAGCACTGACGAATGGATTAAGAAAATGTGGTATCTATACACAGTGGAATTCTATGCAGCCGTGAAGAAGAACGAAATGTTATCATCCGCAGGTAAATGGATGGAATTGGAGAACATCATTCTGAGTGAGGTTAGCCTGGCCCAAAAGACCAAAAATTGTGTGTTCTCCCTCACATGTGGACATTAGATCAAGGGCAAACACAACAATGGGATTGGACTTTGAGCACATGATAAAAGCGAGAGCACACAAGGGAGGGGTGAGGATAGGTAAGACACCTAAAAAATTAGGTAGCATTTGCTGCCCTTAATGCAGAGAAACTAAACCAGATACCTTAAAAGCAACTGAGGCCAATAGGAAAAGGGGAACAGGTACTAGAGAAAAGGTTAGATCAAAAAGAATTAACCTAGAAGGTAACACCCATGCACAGGAAATCAATGTGAGTCAATGCCTGTATAGCTATCCTTATCTCAACCAGCAAAAACCCTTGTTCCTTCCTATTATTGCTTATCCTCTCTCTACAACAAAATTAGAGATAAGGGCAAAATAGTTTCTGCTGGGTATTGAGGGGTGGGGGGAGAGGGGGGGTGGAGTGGGGGGTAAGGGAGGGGTTGGGGGCAGGGGGGAGAAATGACCCAAGCCTTGTATGCACATATGAATAATAAAACAATAAAAAAAATTTTTTAATAAATAAATAAATGTGCCTCCCACCCACAGGTTCATCTTCAGACTTGTCAGACATGAAGTGACCCTATGTCCTGCAAGACTTTCCCAGGTCCAAAGGAGGACACCTTGGCCCAGCTCAGCCAATCAGCTTCCTTCAGGAATTTTAGCAGTAAGAGATAGAAACCTTGGTCCCTTGGATGGCTTTGGGTACAGATTGAAGGTCATGATGTAAGGTCACAGGGATCAGGGGCCAGAAATGGTAACCCAGCAGCTGGCGAGGGATGAGGACAAAGTAAGTTGTGTGCAGAAAGAAGTCTGCCAAGGGAATCGGATACAGATGTCCAGAGGAACAAAGGGGAGGCCACTGGCCCCAGAGAACAGGCTCTCCTGCCCAGGGATCTCAGAAATCCTTCTCTGAGAGGCTCTGTGCGTCTTTCTTTATCTTGACAATGTCCCTTCTGTGGTCTAGCCTGGGTAGGTTTTGGTTTCTCTCTGAAAGCCTTCCCAGACAAGGACACTTTGTCATTCAGGGCTGGCATAGGGGATGTAGGAATTCATCCCCAGCCCCTGGGACAAAGCTCTTCCTGTAGACAGAGTCGTAGGATGTGACATGGGGCAGTGGTGATGGGTAGAACGGCCACTCACCTTTTCCCCAGGTGTGCCAATGGGTCCCTGGGGACCGGGGATTCCCTGAGGACATAAAAAGAGGGTGAGGGGGGACAAGAAAATGGAATGATGAGTGTGAAGACTGGGGAGCCACGGAGGGGTCTAAGGTCTCAGCTGACCCCTGCCCCCCATTATTGAGAAAGACCAAACCTGGGACCCGTGGTTTCCCTGCTGTCCTGGCGGACCTGGTTCTCCTTGGGGACCCTGTAGGGAAAGTGGGGGTTCAGTGAAGCTGGTGCCGTGGTCAGTAAGGCTGACACGAAGGGTCACAGGCGTGGACAGGGATATGACCGATCATGGGCTCAGAGTGTCAGAAGGACCAAGGATCAGAGGAAAAGTCACATACCACGTTGCCTTTGGCACCTGGTGGCCCATCACTTCCAGTGACACCCTGCGGGTAGAGAAGATGTAAGACCAGGACTGGGGTCAGCCAAGGGCCTGAGAGGCACAGGCACAAAGGTGACAGACAGAGATACCACACAACCAAAGTGGACATGAGAAGGGGAGACAGGTGAGAAAAAGACAGAAAAGGAGTCAGAGAGTCTGTGACATCCTTACCGGGCGTCCCAGGGGGCCAGGGGAGCCTCTGGGGCCAATCAAACCTCGGGGACCCTGCAAAGGAGCAGAATCATTATCCCAGCACCCCTTCTTGTGGCCCTGGGAGCTCCAGGGACCCAAGAGTCCCCACCCTGTCTCCAACAACAAGCAAGGGGGTTGATGCTCACCGGCTCCCCAGCCTGGCCAGTGGGCCCTGGAGGTCCCTCTGCTCCCTGTGGGAAGGTATCATTATTTGAAGAGGGGGAGTACCACCCCTGAAGGGCCATCTCCCCTCACCTAGGTTAGGGGATCTCAGAGTTAGACCAAGGTCCCAGGATCCTGCAGACCAAGTGCATGGGCCCCCAATCCCACACTTGCAATTCCAAGTCTGATTCCCTAACCCCAAAGCCAGCATTTGGCTTGCAAACTGGCTTTTTGAGACCCCCCTCCTCAGACATCCTGCTGAGCCTCACCCCTCACTCAGCCCCTGAATTCGCTCCTCCTTGCTGACAGACACCCAGACTTCTCTGCTTCCAAATTAGCTCTCAGCTCATCTCCAAACTTACCTTCTCACCGTCCTCTCCTGGGGGGCCAGGTTGCCCCACGTGGCCAAAGTCACCCTGGATCGGGGAACAGAGGGGAGATGGGAGGGGAATAGTACAGGTGGCAGTGACCCCCACACGCACCAGGAAAGGAGATAGGGTATGAGGGGGCGAGAACTTAGACACCAGGGTTGAAGTCAGATACTGAGGGAGAGGAGACTGTGACATGGGGAAGGAGAATGGGGAGGGGAAAAGATGTCACACACTCACCCTTTGGCCCTTCTCACCAGGCAGCCCTGGTAAACCATCAAAGCCCCGGTCACCCTGTCCAAAGAGACAGCTGCTGAGCCTTGAACCTTTGACCTGCACAGTCCCCACCCCCACCCAGTCCTGACCCCATCACCAACCTTGGGTCCTGTGTCTCCTGGGAGGCCCCGAGCCCCATCTGCTCCAGGGCAGCCCTATGAGGAAAGTGAGACCAAGGGTCAAGGATAAACTTCCCCTGGTCCCTCCCCCAAATTAAGACCTCCTCAACTACATTATCATTAATATCATCTAGATATTTAGTAAGCTTTTTTTGTGTGGTATTGGGATTTGAACTCAGGGCCTTTGCCTTGAGCCACTCCACCAGCCCTTTTTTGAGAAGGGTTTTTTCAAGATAGGGTCTCATGAACTATTTTTCCCTAGCAGGCTTTGAACTGAGATCCTCCTGATCTCTGCCTCTTGAGTAGCTAGGATTATAGGCGTGAAGCACCAGCACCTGGCTATTTAGTATAATTCATTAGTCATTTGCAGGAGGCTTCTCTTGAGTACTAATTTCACCTGCCAAAACTTCTCAAAACCACCCATTATTCATTATCCCCAGATCTCTTACTGTAGTCTAAGTTACCGTCATCACCCAGATTAAGGATTCCCATCTTCAGGCCAGGCATAGTGACTCACAATGTAATCCTAGCTACTCCAGAGGCAGAGATAGGAGGATCGAGTTCAAGGCCAGCCCAGGCAAAAAGTTAGGGAGACACCATTTCAACTACTAATAAGCTGGGCACAGTAGTGTGCACCTGTCATCTCAGCTACGTGGGAGGCAAAGGCAGGAGAATTTAGATTTGAGGCCAACCCTGAGCAAAAAGCAAGACCCTACTTGGAAAATAAACTGAAGCAAAAAGGGCTGGGTGTGTGGTTCAAGTAGCAGAGCTCAGGAAGGCCCTGACCACCAAAAAAAAAAGAAGAAGAAGTGGCTTGGGGACTGACAACTTACTCACCATCTTGCCCTCACGGCCAGGGGGCCCAGGAGGACCCTGTAGTCCTCGGGGACCCTAGAAAAGAAAGAAAGGAGACGGAAAGAAGGAAGAATAAAGGACTTATTTTACGTCATTCCATAGGAAGGGCGAGAATTGCAAGGGTGTCCTTGGCTCCTTTGACATCTTCTGCATCCAGAAAGGTTTTGGGGGGTGACCCTTCCCATCCAATCCTGTCCCAACCCCACAATCTCACCTGTGGCCCCACTTCTCCTATGTCTCCTTTCAGACCTGGATATCCAGGGAGACCCTTGGCGGAGGAGAGACGGGGGACATGGTTAGAAGGGTGTGACCCCTGTCCGTAGATGTGTCCCCTCCTCTCTGCACACTCCTTACCACAGGACCTGGGCGTCCGGTGAGCCCCACGGGGCCAGGGGGACCTTTCATTGAAAGCTGCAAAGAGAGGAACAGAGCCTCAAGTCTGCCCTAAGAGTCCTGACAGCCCCCCACACACACAACACACACAGGCGCTGCTATGGTTTGACAGTGTCCCAACCCCCAAAAATGCATGTGTTGGAAATTTGATCACCAATTCATGTCAGTGGAGTTTGGAGGTGGGGTTGTTTGGGAGGTGATTGGGATTACATGAGGTCATGAGGGTGGGACCCCCTGCGATGAGATTAGTGGCTTTCTTGCACATTTGCTCTGGCTTGCTATTCCTTGGCCATCCACTCCCTGCCCTCAGTGCTGTGATCCCACTAATGACACCTACAGACCCCACTCTGCTGTGGTATGATGAGGTAAGAAGGCCACCACCAGGTGGCAGCACCAAGCTCTTGGACTTCCCAGCCTCCTGAACCATACACCAAATAAACCTGTATTTTGTATAAGCTATCCAGTCTCAGGTATTTTGTTATAGCAAGAGAAATCCAAGATAGGCATCTTTAGGAGACAGATGTTCCCCGTACTCCTGTCCTTTCACTAGCCCTCATTTCTGTCACCTCTCACATGAACACTGCCCCCCAACCCACTCACCTGTGCCTGTTGTAGCACTGCCTGAGCCTGGGCCTGCTGGAAGGAGACTGGAGGTCCTTTGAGGGAACTGCTAGCAAGCTGGAACTAAGGAGAAAGCAGAGGTGAGGACAGCTCCAAGGACAGCCCCCTCCCTGGTCAGGACTCCAGTCCCCAAGGCTGTGCCACTGTATCTCCTTCTTACCGGCATCATGATGACGGTGCCTGGGGGGCCCCGCACTCCATCAATGCCAGGGATTCCTGGGAGGCCAGCGGGGCCCTGAGAGAGGGAACAAGAGAGAGATGGAAGAAGGGAGGAGAGGGGAAAGACACAGCAAGGGATAGAGGCAGAGAGATGGAGACAGGAAGAGGGACGGAGAGACAGATTAAGAGACAAAGAAGACAGAGGTGGATGAAGACAAAGAGATGGAGGCAGGAAAAGAGAGAGAGAGAGAGAACAGGGAGACCAGGGAGAGACAGAGACATAGAGAGAAATATAGAGATGAAAGACAGGTGGTAACAGATACATAGATAGGTATAGGGGGAAAAGTGGGGGATAGGCCCCCAAAGACAGAAGAGAGACCACAAAGATTGTTCACGGATCAGCAAAAGAAGTCAATACCAGCCAGGGCATGTTTCCCAGTCCTGTCCCCTCAGCCCCATGTTCAGCCCTTCATGCTCCCAGCCTGAAAAGGGACCCGTACCCAGGGGAGTCTCTTACCGGTAGACCACGGTCCCCAGGGAATCCTGGGGGGCCAGGAGGGCCTGAGGGACCAACCACCCCCTGTAGGGGACAGAGAAACAAAACGTTACAGGAAATGCAAAATTTAAGCCACACTGATGTCCAACCTACCTCTGACCCTGACTCCAAGCTGACTTTCCTGCCCTACCTGTCAGCCGGTTTCTGCCCCACCTCAACCCTGTATGAACCCCAATTTCACAGCTCAGCCCTGTTTTCACCTCATCTTTTGGCCATCAAATATTCAATGGTCTCCACATGACCAGGCAACATTACGCCCCAACTCCTCACCCCAAGGGCTTAAACGCACCCCAACTAAAAAAGAAAAATGGAACCAGGTGTGATGGAGCGTGCCTGTAATTCCAGCACTCAGGAAGCCAAGGCAGAAGGATCTTGAATTTGAGGCCAGTCTGGGCTACAGAGCCAAACTCTGTCTCAAAAGAGAGAGAGAGAGAGAGAATAGAAAGATAGGAAGAGTGGAATGCGGCCAGTACTCACTCTGAGTCCTGGGGGTCCTGGAGGCCCCTCAAACTGCTGTCCCTGAAAAGAGAAATGGGTGCTACTCCTGTTCTAGCGAAACCCCTCAAACCCCCCACAGCCCCAGCCCCTCACCTGTTCTATCACGGCTGGTTCTCCTTTGGCTCCCTTTTCTCCAACGCCCTGGGGACCGGGAGTGGGAAGAAAAGAGAAGTGAGCCCCCGAGCCACCGAGCCCCCTCCTACACACATAGGATCGACCCTCCCAGCTCTGCTTCCAGTCCTTTCTTCAGTCAATACACATTCAGGAGTCCCCAAAGCTCCCTGTCCTGGCTCTGCCTCTCACCAGCTGAGCGATGTTGAGAAAAGCCCATGGCCAGTAGCAAGTAACAGTGTCCCCTATGAAGTGACTGAGTGACAATGGTACATCCCTGTGAAGATGGCGCACCTAACACAATGCTTAGCCCAGATTACGCAGTCACAGTTAGTTACAACTCTCTCTCTCTCTTTTTTTTTGCAGGGCTACACCTTGAGCCACTTCACCAGCCCTTTTTTGTGAAGGTTTTTTTCAAGAGGGTTTTTTGGAAAACACCTTCACAAAGGGTTTTGAGGCCATTTGGACTGGCCTCAAATCGTGATCCTCCTGATCTCTGCCTCCTGAGTAGCTAGGCTTACAGGCGTGAGCCACTGGTGCCTGGAGGTATTGGGGTTTGAACTCAGGGCCTCACATTTGTTAGGCAAGTGCTCTACCACTTGAGCCAGTCCACCAGCCCTTTTATGTTTTGGGTATTTTGGGGATGGGGTCTTGCTCTTATCTCAGGCTGGGCTGGACTGAGATCCTCCTATTTAAGCTTCTGACTGTTAGCTAGGATGACAGATGCATGCCACCACAACCAGCTTTTTTCCATTGGGATGGGGTCTCACAAACGTTTTTATCCAGGCTGACCTGAAACTGCAATTTTCCCAATCCTGTGTAGCTTGGGGTGGCAGGCATGCACCACTGTGCCCAACTATTGCTTGAGATGGGGTCTTGAGAACTCCTTGCTTGGAGTGGCCTCAAATCTTCATCCTCCCAATCTCAGCCTCCCAAGTAGCTAAGATTGCAGGCATGAGTCACCGATGCCCAGCATCTGTTTTGGGTGGGGTGGTATTTCTGGGTTTGAACTCAGGGCCTCACCTCCCCGCCCCGAGTCCTTATTTGTTTTAGTTATTTTTCAGATAGGGTCTCTTGTTTTTGTCTGGTACCAGCCTGACACCGTGATCCTACCCACGCCTCTTTCATAGCTGGGATTACAAGCCTGGTTTGTTTGTTGAGGTGGGGTCTTACTAACTCTTTGCCCTCTTGATCTCTACCTCACAAGCAACTGGGATTACAGGCATGAGCCACTGCGCCTGGCCCAAGACCCTTGGCTTTCCACCTGGTCCTCTGTCACAAGGCTAGAGAACCCATTTTACTCAATGGTCCTACCACACACCTTTCTCCACCTCTAGCAGCAAGACCAAAATGGAGGGAGTCCCCAGTTGGCATCTCTTGCTTAGACTACAGGTTTCCCTGATGCCTCTCTGGCTCCCCCTGCTGTCCATGTACAGTTTGGCAGCTTCCAGAGTTTGGAGTGAGATCCCATTCCAAGGTCAAGTGGCTTCTCATCCTGGTTTACTAAAAGCCGGTTGCATCACCTTACCCACAGAGCCATTTGTTAGCACGGCCTTTCACCCAGTAAGCGCTGTTGGCTGCACTGGTGTGCTACAAAGACGTTGAGGCAGATAGAGTCTAGAGAGAGAATGTGTCCTCGTGTGGTCCCCATAGGAGTCCCTTCCTAGCCCCCACACTCACAGGAAAGACCTGGAACTCAGTCTCAAAAGGTTGTTCTGCTGCCCGGAATTCAGGGCCCATAGGATCTGCCCCTTCTCCGTCTTCTTCAATTGCTTCGGTCTCCGAGGTCCTCAGCTCCATTTCACTGCCAGGGTCCCTCTCCTCCTGAGGATACTGGAGCAGTCAAGGTTTGCCTCTGCCCTTCTTATCTGTCACCACCACCGCCACCCAGGAGCCTCCCCTTTCCAGCACCATCCACTTTCCACTGACCTGTAGGACAGTCACATTGTGGCCAATAGTCACCGTGGCAGTGACAACCAAAGGCGTGGGAGTCAGGGGCACATTTGGAATTGGCATCTCGGTCTTGGAGACGTCAGTGGAGGTCTGCAGCAGGCATGGGGTGAGTATCAGTCTGGGGTCAGGCCAGGCAATCAAGACAAAACAGGGGTAAAGGAGGAGCCAGGCCTCGCCTCAGGCTGGGGAGTGGGACAAAGGAGGATGTTGCAAAGAAAGTCAAGGCGATGGCAGCAAAGGTGTGCTCCCCTGGTGGCTGACCAGCCATCCTGTATAGAGGAGGAAGGCAGAGCTGGGCTGCCTCCAGAGCCCAAGGTCAGGGTCAAGGTCCAGCATTCAGGGCCAGACTCCCAAAGACTATCCCACATATGCTGTCCCAAGGCAGAGCTCAGCTGTCAGCCAGCCAGGCCACAAAGAAAGTCAGCTCCATCTGGCCTGGACAGCTGCAGAAGTGGGTCAAGGCACAGGAAGAGAACGGTGGGGACCCAGCTGAGGGGCAAGGCTGAGGAAGGGGCTGGGGTGAAGACTGTTATCTCTCATCTTCATATTCTGAGCCAGGAGGATCTGGAACTAGTTTGTAGTACAAGCAGGGAGGGATCCTCGACCAAGGACCCACACCAAGACCTCTACCCCATAACCTACACACAGCAATGGACCTAAGTGTTTCTGCAACTGGTGACCCACAAGCAAGCCCAATCCCCATCAAGGATTGCCACCAATGCCTCCAACCAGATACTCTTCCATCCAGTGATCTTCCCAACCAGTGACATCCCCCCAACAATGAGAACTAATTATAATGGGCCCTTCCAGTGGCCCCTAGCCAATGGTTCCTACAACTAGGGATCCTCCAACAATGAACGCCCTTAGCTGAGCCCATTTATGCCCCACCCCAGTGAAGGGCCCCAATCAGTAATTCCACTGTTGGTGGATTTCCTAATAACCCACCAGGGATCCCAAACTAACAGCCCTGTTCAAGATCCCCTGAAAATTTCTCATCTAAACAGTAACCCCAAATAGAGATCCCACTACGCCTTCTAGCAATCCCCTACCAACAACTCCCCTAATTTTTTGGGAGGACACAGTACTGGAGTTTGAACCCAGGGCCTCATGTGTGGTAGGCAGGTGCTCTACCACTTGAGCCACACCCTCAACCTGTTCTGCTTTAGTTATTTTTCAGATAGGGTCTTGCATTTCTGCCTCCTATTTACACCTCCTGAATAGTTGGGATGATAGGCATGAGCCACCACAGCCGGCTTGATGATTGAGATGGAGGCTCTCTAACTTTTTGCCCAAGCTGGTCTCCAACCTCAGTTCTTCTGATCTCCGATTCTGGAGTATCTGGGATTACAGGTGTCAGCTATCATACCTGGCTAACCCCTATTGACCCTAAACAGGAGACTACCAAAAATACCAACAATGACCTCCATCAATGATTTACTGTGGCCCCCAGCTAGGAACACCCCAAATATTGAGCTCAATTAACATTTCCCTCTGTGATCACCTCCAACCAGCAATTCCTATTAGAGAGGCCATTATCCCCCAAGAACTAACCCTCAATGGGCCCATTTGGTGGATCCCCTAACAAGGTCACACTAACCAATGAGCCTATCATTATTCACCCCCAGCTAAACAGCAGCACTCACCAAGAACCCCCTACTAACCAGATACACCTCTGGGTGTGCCCTCTCCCACCAGCCTCCCCAGGACTGGGGAAACAGACATGGGAGAGCTCCTAAGACAGAACCTGTGTCCCTCCCCTCAACTCTTGAGAGAAACCAGAGCTGCAGGATCAGAGGCTGGGGACCAAGGCCATGGAGGAGAGGCCAAAGACTGTGAGGACAGGCAGTTGAGACCAAATGTGAGCATTCTCAGGTACCTTACCTGATTCTCCAGGGGGCTGGGAGGTAGACTGGGGGCCAAGGTCTCCTTGTTCTTTTTCTTTCTGCCCTTGCCTTTGCGCCCTCGCTCTTTTTTCTTCCCTCTTCCCTTACCCTTGCGGCGAGGAGGATGGGTTTCTGGCTCCTCCTGGGGGCCCTGGAAAGAGGGTCTCAGTCAGGTCTGGTGCATCCCCTCTCCGCCATGAAGGTGGTATCATTCAGGTCACCTGGGGTTGTGCTGGCCTGTGGTCCGTTGGTTCCCACTCAACACTGAGGGTGACCTGAATCACTCAGTTATGTGACTTAAGGTCAAGGGCACTCATGCCTGGACTCTGTTTGAGGTCAGGGATCCCTCTGTCCTATGTTGGGAGTCAGGTTACTCTACCCCATTGGGATTAGAACTCACTTCTTCCCACCTGGAGCCAGAATGACTCAGCCCAGGACCTTGGGTCAGGTAATGTAGCCTCTCACTCACCCCTGAAGTTGGGGGGTCTGGGCTGTCACAGCCAGGGAGGTACTTCTCACAGGCCTGGAAGGCATCCTGGGGGTCTGGGCTTATCAGCAGCTCCTGGATGTCTCCCTGGGAGAGAGTGGGGACAGGTGAAAAGGACCAGAGGCTGACTCTGACCCCTTCCCCAGCACAGCCCTGCCCACCTCCCAGTGTGGTGCCCTCCAAAGCACCCCACATAGAAGGAGGAATGACCCTCACAGCCACCCCTGCAACTCAGAAAAGGAAGAGTCCTATCAGGACCACATATGTCACAACCACAAGCCACACCCACATCTGTCGCATGAAGGTGTATTTGTCCCTAACCCTCGGGCTACATGGTGAAACAGGAACTCTGTGCCAGATGCCCTTCCAGGTACAAGGGATCCAGACCAGCACACGACAGACCAGGTCCCTGGCCTCCCAGAGGCCACACACCTCACAATCACACACAGCACAGCCACCAATCATTGTCACCACACCAAAAACCTATATGTCACCCAGCCACATGACACTGCCTGGCCAGTCCCCAATGTCACAACCACACCATCACAACTACCACCACTGTCTCAGGTCGTTTCACAGCTAGTTAATCTACTACAACATGTGTACATGTGTACTTGCTACATGTCATGATCACCATCATAACTTACCATCTCATGGTTTTAGAACCATATGACAGACATGTGACATGTGGCAATGGTGCCACAAGCATGGCACTCTCTTCCTTCAATTCTGCCTTCCCCTCGTCTTCTCCAGATTCAACTAGTGGACAAAGTTTCCCACCCTCTGCCTCAGTTTCCCCTATCACAAAAGTTTCTTCCTACCTCAAAAGTCTCCTCCTTACTGTCCTGGGTCCCCAGCACAGTGAGCCCAGCTGTACTGATGAATCGAAGTCCCTGGCTTGATACAGAGGGCTGAGGTTCACAGTCAGCTACCAATGTCACCATATCACCATCCACACTGACTGCCACACGGTGCCACCTGCAAGGGAACAGTTTCAGTGTAGGTACATCTCACCTTGCCCTCCATGGGTCCCCACTTCTCTTTCCTATAGTCACCTGCCATCCGTGAGGTTGACCTGCTGGGGCATCCGGGTGAAGGCACCACCTATAATGTCCAGAGCTGGCCCCAGCACCAGGCCCAGCTGCCGGGCACCCATCTCATCATAAATAGATAGGAGGACAGACTGATTGGCTGGCTGGCCCCGCAGAGTAATCAGCACAGAAAAGTTCCCAGGGAAGTGCCCATCTGGGTGGAAGAGAGAAGGGAGCAGGCAGGTCAGGTGGCCTGGTAGTGACTCCTGCTGTCTCCATCATGACCCTGACACCTTCCTGTCCTAACTCACCTGGAAAGAGGTCCAACGTGGGGACACTGAGCACGCTGGCCTTGCCCACTCTGAATGCTCGGTCACCCTCTGGAGTCCTGTGGGGACAGAAGCCAGGCCTCTCGGGGACCCCGGCTTGGCCCCTGTGTACACCCAAGGACTTTAGCACATCCACAGGATCCACTGCAGAGAGAAGCAGGATAAGGTGGGAGACTTGGAACCCCCCAGAGCTCCATGTTAGTGGCTCAGGTTTGGGGGACTCCCTCCTCCCCTCTGAGTGTGTTTATGTCTCTGGAAGAAGGAGCTGGGCCTGGGACCAGCTAACACCCCCCCCCAGCCAACAGATGTTCCGGCTACATCAGTCTGTTGATTTCTGCTATTTATTTTTTTCCCTTGGTTTTTGGTGAGAAAAAAAGCTGACCTAGTTCTAGGATGAATCAAAGCTTCCTGGCTGGAGCCCCAGAGCCAAACCATCCCCTTCTCCCTACTCCCCCGCACAAGCCTGGATCTCCCTTGCCAGGGGAAACCCACAGGGGAAGGAGGGGCTGTGTGTGTGCTCTTCCCCCACCTTCTCCCTCTCATCTCCTTTCATGACCCCCCATCTCCCATAGCCTCTTCCCTCTGACCACCATCCTCCATGGCCTCTTCCCTCTGAATATTCTTTTTTTTTTTTTTTTTTTCTGTTTTTGGTGGGACTGGGGTTTGAACTCTGGGCTTTAAGCTTGCAAAGCAGGTGCTCTACCGCTTGAGCCACACCTCCAGTCCATTTTGCTCTGGTTATTTTGGGGATGAGGTCTCAAGAACTGTTTGCCTGAGCTGGCCTCAAACGTCGATCCTCCTGACCTCAGCCTTCCAAGTAGCTAGGGTTACAGGACTGAGCCACAGGTGCCAGGTTTCCTACTCTTCTTCTGCCATCCCTGCTAACTTTTTTTTTTTTTCTCTTTTGTGGTACTAGTGTTGAAACCCAGGGCCTTGTGTATGCTAAACAAATGCTCTACCATTTGAACCACGCCCCCAAACCTTTGGTTGGGGTTGAGATAGGTCTGGATAACTTTGTCCAGGCTGGCCTTGAACTTGAAATCCTCCTGCCTCTGCTTCCAAAGTAGCTGGGATCACAGGCATTTGCCATCACACCTACCCTAGCTGCTAACTTGTATTTTAGATTCACCACCACCACCACCAAACACACACACACACACACACACACACACACACACACGTGTGCATGCACGCACCCCTTCTCCATCTGACTTACCCCTTGACTCCCCGCTGTTCCCGTCCCATTCCTTCCTGAGGCCTCCCTCTGATTACCCCCTGACTTCTTCCCCTGCCTTTTCCACTCTCCTCCATCTGACCTCTGGCACCCCGTTTTATCTTCCTCTTTGACCTCCTTTCTGATCACCTCGCTCTGATAACCTCAGCCCCCTTCCCCCTCTGACCCTCTTCCTCTCTCATCTTAGCCAAAGAAGGGACTGATCTGGCCCAATCCGACCTTGATCCAGGCCATCCTCCTGGCTGCACCCCAGACAGCCAGGCCAGTGTTAAGTGGAACCACATGGCCTGGGCAGAGGTGGGTGGGGGCTTCCCCTGGGCCCAGAGTCCCTGCCTGGTCCCCTCCCCCACCCTCAGCAAACTGTCCCACTAACCCCCTGACCCAGCCTCTTGGCAGGATCTAGATTCTGTCGAGTCTGCCATGACCTCACCCCTAGGGGCGGCTCTGCTGACCTCACCACTGGGAACAGGAGTTGGGGGCCAGACTTGGAGGGAGGGAATGGCTTGGAAGACCCCCATCCCAGCTCTGCCTGGGTCAGAAATAACCTTCCTTCTCCTAACTGCACAGGTCTGCTCCAGCCCCTGACCCTCTTGCCCCAGTGTCTTTCCTTCTGTCCAGCTCCTGCCTTCTCTCTGCCCTGCTTTCTGAACCCATCTCTGCATCCAGCTCTGAGTCAGTTGGTAGGTCTATCAGTCTTGCTCACTTACTCAGTCTGTGTCGGTATTTGGTTAACTCTCTTCTCGGAGAATTACACATCTCTATGCATCAGTACTGTGCAAAGATCTCTCTCTCTCTCTCTCTCTCTCTCTCTCTCTCTCCCCCCCACCCCCATCTTTAATTGCCTGTTCTGTGGCTGGACTGTCATTAAGAGGTATTTGGGTTATAGCCCCCTGGGGCTAAGATTTGGGCTCCCAGGCTCTTCACACCGCAAGGGTCAGTCCCCCATGGACAAATCAAACCAGCTGCACACTCCCCACCCCCTGACTGGGCTGGGGTCCAGGAAAGGAACCAGATCTACAACCTTACCCTGCGTGGAGACTTTCTCCCCCACAAAGACCCCAGCCTCTACGCAGTGGAAAGTGTCTCCCCTAGGCCACTGCTCCTTCAGATATCAAAAGTCCTTTCTGGCATCCAATCCAAAGGACTCCTGCTTCAGTCCTGTGTCCCTTGTGCAATGACCTTTCCGAAACTGACTGCCCTTTCTTTCCATGGCTGGCGGTGTGACAAGGAGATACACAAGAGGCATTGAGTCCTGCCTGCAGGGCCAGGAGATAGGGGGTCTGTCAGGGACCCAGCCCATACTCACCCCACACGCACACCCACACCCTCTTCCATATGCTAGTCAAGGTCCCCGGGGAGATGCTGGGTGGAGTCTAGGATGTGAAGGCAAGGACTGCATCCCACACTGGGATGCAGCTGGAATCCTCCACCCCCCCCAGATGTGTGGGAGAGCGTAGGTGGGTGCAAATGTGTGTACGTGCAGGAGAGTGTGTGGGTGACTGGATACATCAGAGGATGACTGGGAAGTCATTTGTGAGGTGTCACGTGTGTGCAAATATTGGGTCTGTGATGGTCTCTTAGGTGCAGGTGTTTGACACATGGATGTGTCTGTGTGATGGAGACCTTGGTCTGTTGTAATAGCTCCAACTCACAGTGAAAGTGACTCTGCAACGCAGTTCCTGAGAGAATGTGACAAGTCAACGAGTGGGCGATTGGTTGTGAATGTCGACCATGATTGCATGGATGCCAGGGGAAGCACGTGTGAGAATCTGAAGACGTAGGAGAGTGGCAGAATGCTGTGTTTTGGGGGGACGCTGATGGGGTTGGCTGGGCGTGGCCACGGTGTTTCCGTGTCCCAAGAGTCTTATATTCTGGATGGATGCCTGAGATTACATGATCATGCGGATGTGTGAGCATGGGAATGGGGCATAGGCTAATCTGGGATTACCCACATGGGCAGGAACCTTCCTGCACTCCAAAGAAAGTGCGAGAAAGTGTTGTAGTGTATGCCCGAGCTAGCCGGGGCTGGGACACTGAGCTCACCTTAATTTCTTGTAGGGTCTAATCTGGGGTCCCCTAGATCAGGAAAGCCCTGGGCCTAACCTGGGGTCCTTTAGATCAGGAAAGCCCTGGTCATTCACCAGTTGAATCTCTTCACCCTGGGGGCACCCTGGGGCACCCCACCCCCACCCCAACCCTGCGGGGCGCGGCGGGGCTCCGTGCCAGATGCGCGCAGCTGGGCATGCGTCAGCTCTGACTCACCCGTCCTGCGGCCCCGGGACCCCTGGGGGAGCCCTGAGAAATTCCTCGGGAAAAACACCCCAGGCTCTCGCAACTGGGACGGGGAGCAACTTCCACTCCCGCCGCCCCCGCCGCGCTCCGCCCCGCCCCGCCCTGCGCCCCGCCCCGCCTCGCCCCTCACCGCGGCCCTGTCCATGGTGCTGACGATCTGGCTCTGGGGAGCGCGGGGTGGGGGTGGGGGGGCAAAGGGTGGGACCAAGGGGGCGTGAGCCAATTTGGGGCAAAAGAGGAAGAAGGAGAACAGGGCGCAAAGACAGGTGTGGCCCTCCTCTCACTCTCATCTGTACTCATCTCAGCATCAGCCACGCGAACTCATGGACAATAAATTACACCCCACCCCAGTCACAACTACAGCTCTCCCAGGGTCATCTGGAAACACACAGTCACACCTGTAACACACACACGGAGTCAGACACAGACAGACACCCTGGACACAATGCACGCTCACATGTCACTATACACACCCTCCCAGGGACCATCCTGTCACCCAAATTCAAAAGTCACCATTAACCTCCACGTTTAAGAGCATGCGTGATTTCAGCCCCAAGTGGCTGCACACTCATTGCTACACACACCGCTACACATTGCATTTAGTTTCATGCATCCGCCAGTAAACACAGCCACACGTTTCCCAGGACAGTTGTCACACCCCTAAATCTCTCTCCACCCCACCCCCAGCTGTCACACCCACAGATCAGCCAGAATGGGACTCTCACATCTCCACCCACACGCAACGCGCATGACCCCCACGCACGCCCCTCATTCACATCTCCACACAGTGTATGGAATCTCTCTGGATCCTGCACCCCAAGTCCTATGCCCTCACTCCAGGCTCACCGGCCAGCGTCCGGGGCATAAGTTGCAGCGCGACCAGGAACAGGCAGAGGCCGGCCCGTGGCTGGCCCAGGCCCCGGTGGCTTCCCATCCGGGCGAGGCCCATGCGCAAGGCGGGGGACCGGACGGGGCGGCTGCGGGGCGCGGCGACTCCTCGGGTCCGGCGCGGTCACTCGGCGGCCGGCTGCAGTCGGGATCGGCAGGAGACTGGACAGACCCCGCCCGGGCCGCGCCCTGCGCTCCAGCAACTGCCGGGCGGGGCTGGCGGGAGGCGGGGGACCCACGGCTGGAGGGGGAAAGTTTGCACCGAGCGCTGATTGGCCGGCTGGGGCCCCAGGCCTGGAGCCCGCTCTGGCCCCACCCCCGGCGGAGGAGCAGCGTCACTCCTAGCCAACCGTAGAACTCGGGGTCCCAGCCTTACCCCAAGTCCTTGCCCTCCTAACAGGTCCGCTCAGGGATCTTAGCCTCCTTCAAACCTCCAGTCTCCATCTAGGCCCTGGAATTAGGGCAAGGTGTGGCTCTATACCAACCCCTTTTGGACTCATCCAGGTCCCCAAGGGGGAATGTGGGTTCCAGCCTCACCCCAAACTTTCACCCACCTGTCTTACCTCAAGACCTTCCACTCAGACCGCCTAAGTAAGGAGTTCTCATTCTCCCAAAAGTCACCTGAGGTCTCCAAATTGATTTCCCCACCTTGCTGTAAACCCCCATCTCTCCTTGTGGTCCTGGTACCACCCCCCCAAACTCTAAATCCTCCAAGAAAGCACTCTGCCTAACTCTATCCCTAACCCTCATCTTCCTCCCCCTCGGGTACCCTAATGGCTACCCCGCCCCAATCCTACATCCTCACATCCCCACAAGTGTCTCCATCAGATGGGGGAGTCTTTCCCTGGGGGGGGGGTGGATTCCTGCCATTCCTGGGATGAAACAAAGGCCTCTCTTATCCTACTGGGACACCCCCCCCCCCAGTGTGAAGAGGCCCCAGGGGTTCAGGTAGTGCTCCTGTGTAATTGGACAAGCGCAGACACGCAGGATGTGAGACAGAAGTTTCCCAGGGAGGAAGCAAAAGGGCGGACCCTGGGCTCTGAAATCATTCCACCCCCCACCCCCCTCCCCCTTTGGGGAACAGGGAGCTAGATGCAGGCAGCTCACTCTCAACCCGGGCTCCACAGACAAAGAGTCTCTGTGTCCCTGGGGAGGCAGGGGTAGGGCCCCATCTGGCCTGAGGAAGAGCTGGGGGCCTCTTGGGATGGGAGAAGGAGAGGGAATTCCCCCATCCCCGAGCAGCACCTCCACCATCCCCAGGCTCTTCCCAAGCTGAGATTTTTTATAACTAAAAGACTCTCATAAAGTTCCTGCCATGCCCTGTCTTGCTGGGAAGTTCTTCCTGTAGTCTAACTTCTTGTAACCTAACTGTAGTCTTGTTAACAGTTCTCAGACCCTGCTGGGACCACACTCACTGTTGGTTTCTCTCACTCTCCTTCCAACTAGAGATTCTTGGGTGTTTGTTTTTGAGATAGGTTCTCATCATGTAGTCCAGGCTGGCCTCAAACTGGAGATGCTTCTGTCTCAGCCTTCTGAATGGTGGGATTACAGGTGTGTACCACCATGCCCAGCTTTCTAACTGCATCCAGAATAGAGGCAGTAAGAGAAGAAATCAACCCCTACCCCCAGTTCCCCCCACAAACATTCTCCATGTCTGGAATAATTTAGAATCATAATAAAAATGAAGATAAATAAACTTTATGAGTGCGGCAGTTGTAGAGAGGGAGGGAAGGTGAGAGAATAAGGAGGAGGAGGAGGGGAGGAGGAGGGGAAGGAAGGGAAGGGAAGGAATGACATTGGGGATGGAACCCAGGGTCTCACATCTGCTAGGCAAAACAGCACCACCACCAAGTCACACCCCCAACCCTCAAGAGGAATTTTTTTTCTTTTTTCTTTCTTTCTTTTTTAGGGGGGTGGGGGCGGATCTGGGGGTTAAACTCAGAGCTTCACACTTGCAAAGCAGGCACTGTACTGCTTAAGCCACGCCTCCAGTCCATTTTGTTCTGGTTATTTTGGAGATGGGGTCTTGAGAACTATTTGCCCAGGCTGGCCTTGAACTGTGATCTTTCTGATCTCAGCCTCCGTAGTAGCTAGGATTCTAGGCTCTCAACAGGAATTTTGACACAGGAAGGGTGTATGGAGCTTAAGGGATCCTTAAGTTGAGACTTCCTGGGCCTCTTTTCCTGCAGGGGATCAGGTGGAGGGGCTTAGAAGGCAGCCACTGAGCTGGGTGGGGTGGGGGGGGGAGTCAGGTGCTGTCCAGCTGAAGTCACATGTCCAGAGATCAACATGGCCTCCCCACCCCAGACTGTTCTGATCTCTGGCTGTTCATCAGGAATTGGTCTGGAGCTTGCTGTGCACCTGGCTCACGACCCCAGACAGCGCTACCAAGGTAAGGGGAGCAAGGTGGAGCCACAAGACACAGGCATGAGGTTGGCTTCATAGGACCCCCAGCCGGCAGCCCAGTCTCCACTATCCTGCCCCTTCCAGCTATACTTGTGGACTTGGGGAGGGCCCAGCACTCATGAAAGGAAGCCCCCTTTCCACCTCTCCCTCCATGGACCATCCCCTCTCCTCGCCCAGTCCAACAAGTATTTCTTGAGGCTATACTGAGTGCCAGGCACTATTCTGGGTGCCAAAAAAAGAAAAAAACCAGATGTGAATAGGAAACCAACATTTCAGCCTTGGGTAATGGTTTAGTGGGACAGAGGAGACAGACAGTAAACAGAGAAAAAGAAATTACAATTTCTCTAGTGGTACCAAGTGCCAGGAACAAAATAATAAGGCCAAGGAGGGAGGGTAGCATGGGGTGAGGACTGGCATTTTTAGCAGGGGTGGTCTAGAAAGACTCCTCTACAAAGTTTGGTTGAGCAGCTCCAAGAACGGAAGAAGAACCTCGCTGAAGCACCCTTCCCCAGCCTTCCCCAGATTACTGCTCCAAGATAAGCCTCTCAGGTGCCCTTGACCGTAGGGGCTTAAGAAGGCCATTTATTTGTAGACGCTTGCCTTTGTGCGGCTCTGGAGTGCATTGCAACACCTTGGGCCCCAGCTGTAGGAACCTCTGACCTACAACAGGCTGGACGGGAGGAAGGCAAAGGGCTGTTACTTAAGAGGAGCTGTGTGTGTGTGTGTGTGTGTGTGTGTGTGTGTGTGTGTGTGTGTGTGTGTGTGCCACTGCAGTTGGCACAGCTGCTTCTCTCCCTCTGTTTTCTTGTTTTGGTTTTTGTGGGACTGGGGTTTGAACTCAGGGTCTCACACTTGCAAAGCAGGTGCTGAACAGCCTGAGCTACACCTCCAGTCCATTTCGCTCTGGTTATTTTGGAAATGGGGTCTCATGAACTATTTACCTGGGCTGGCCTCGAACTGTGATCCTTCTGATCTTTGCCTCCTGAGTAGTTAGGATGACAGGCAGATGTGAGCCACAACACCCAGCTGTTGTTTTTGGTTTTGTTTTGTTGTTGTTCTTGGTGGTGCTGGGGTTTGAACTCAGGGTAGGCAGGTGCTCTACCACTTGAGCCACTCTGCCAGTCCCCAGCTATTGTTTTGCTATGTAGCCCAGGCTGCACTCAAACTCATGATCCTCCTGCCCGTACTCCCGAGGGCTGGGATTACAGATGTGCTTCACTGTGCCCACCTGTGCCCACTGAGCTCTTAGTATGTGACAAGATCCATTTTAAATGCATCTAGTATGTCATTTAATCCTCAGTCACCCCAGGAGGTGATCCTTCACTAGCTCTTGCCTCATTTTATTTCATTTTGGGTGTTTGAACTCAGGGCCTTGTGCTTGCTAGGCAGGCTCTCTACCACATGAGTCACACCCCAAGCCCTTTTTGCTTTAGTTGATTTCTAATAGAGTCTCTAGTTTTTGCCCAGGTTGGCTTGAACCATGATCCTCCTATTTGTGCCTCCCACATGTCTAGAATGCCAGGTGTGAATCATCATGCCTGGCTTATTGGTCAAGATGGGGTGTCACTATTAACTTTGCCTAGGCTGGCCTCAAATCACAGTTCTCCTGTTCTCTGCCTCCCAAGGAGCTGAGACTACAGGTGTGAGCCACCACACACAAGTCTTGCCTTATTTTGGAAATGAGGAAACTGAGGCATTAGGCCACCGGAGGTTCTTGCCCAGCCAAGTCCTTTGCCATGGCCCAGCAGAAAGAAGGCAGAGCTGAGATTTGAACTGGGGCAGCCCAGATCCTCTGTCCCTGTCTGTCACCTCAGTGCATGTGTATGCAAGTGGCCCCATCCATCTGTATCAGATCTATGAATCACACAGCCTTGCAGACAATGTGCAAATAGGGCTGGTGGAGTGGCTCAAGTGGTAGAGCGCCTGCCTAGCAAGCATGAGGCCCCAAGTTCAAACCCCAGTACCACAGCCAAAAATAAATAAATAAATCACTCCAAAATTCATGGCGTCAAACAACTATGCTCAGTCCAGGTATGTTGGTGTGTGCCTATAATCCCAGCACGTGGGAGGATGAGGCAGGATGATTGTGAGTTCAAGGCCACCCTGGGCTACATAGCAAGAGCAGGTCTCCAAAAAAAAGGCTCAAGAGCGGTTGGATTCAACTCCATGTACTGTAGAAAGGTGGTAAGATTTTAGGAGTTCGCGGGATGGGAAATATCGATGTAGCCATTTTTGGGAAATGAGCTAGTGAAATAACTTGTGAGTCAGAGGTAGTGGTGAGCAAAGTAACTAACATCCAGTAAGTGTTCCATGATTTGGGATTTCTTATATTGGTGATGTAATGTGGCCATTCATGCTGAGTGCAGTTGTGTTGCCTCTGGATGTACACACAGATTTTTCTCATGGCAATCCATTTTATATTTATATTTTTTTGTCTTACTCCTTAGGCTGTGAATTCCAAGAAGGCAGGCACTTTATCCTATTTCACACAATAGTCTCAGCACCTAGAATAAGCCCATGGTGCATAGTACAAGGAAATGCTTGTCAGATGGATGGATGATGTGGGTACAAGGAAATGTGAATGCACAAGTCAAGCACAGTGGCTCACACCTGTAATCCTAGCTACTTGGGAGGCGGAGATCAGGAGGATCAGGTTTGAGGCCAGGTTGGGAAAATAGTTCTCAAGACCCCATCTCCAAAATAACCAGAGCAAAATGGACTGGAGGTGTGGCTTCAGCAGTAGAGTGCCTGCTTTGCAAGTGCAAAGCCCTGAGTTCAAACCCCAGTCTCACCAAGAAAAAAATGTGTGTGCATAAGTGTTCATTTGCTGAGTGCCTAATGGATGTAGGCGTGTAAACTTGTGGTTCTCCATATCTCTGTGACTGCTCATGCAAGATCACACAAACATACAGAAAAAAGAAGCCAGCTCTGCTCTCTGTCCCCAGTGGTGGCCACCATGAGGGACCTGGGAAAGAAGGAAACACTGGAGGTGGCTGCTGGAGAGGCTCTGGGGAAGACCCTTACCGTGGCCCAGCTGGATGTGTGCAGTGATGACTCAGTGTCCCAGTGTCTTAGCCACATCCAGGGAGAAGTGGACGTGCTGGGTAAGAGGCCCTCTCCCTGGTCTAAGTATAGACCCTTAGCAGGCCAGATCTGAGCACCAGCCTGTGGGCTTCCTGTGACCCTGGAGAAGGAGGGAGACCAGTTGTCCAAAGGCTGGGGCCACCAACCAGTCCATTAGAGGTGTCAGGGCTGATCTGATACCTGGAACGGGGTAGGTTTAATGAACAGACATTCTCACATATGCAGACAACCATATGTGGTTGGAAAAATTGGTCTAATGAGTCACTTGGAGAAGGAAGTGTGATGAAGCAGCCACTCACGGTCCCTAGCAACCTCCTCAGGAGGGTGGGCGTAGCCATTTTTGATGCAATTTGGGGTCAGTGCTGAATTGCTCATGCACTACAGGGAATTCTGTTCCCAGTGGCTCTTCCACCCACCCAGGCCTGTTCCACGTGTGTCCACCCAAGACACCCTGGACTTGGAGTAGGGGAGCGGGACAGCTGGGGAACTTCAAGGTTACACTCAACATCCCCCATTAGTGAATAACGCTGGAGTGGGCCTGGTGGGGCCCCTGGAGGGGCTCAGCATAGCTGCCATGCAGAGTGTCTTCGACACCAACTTTTTCGGGGCTGTCCGTCTGGTCAAAGCTGTGCTTCCGGGCATGAAGAGGAGGCATCGAGGCCACATCGTGGTGGTCAGCAGTGTCATGGGGCTGCAAGGTGAGTCCTGGGGATCCACCCCTAGGGATTGCACCTCTACTGTCTGGCCCTCTCGAGGCTCATGTTCCAAAGGAGCCTGGAGAGCTGTGTTGAGAAGGATTCTGAAGTTCAAAAGAAAAACACAAATCTCTGGGGTAGATTAGTTATGCCTGCCCTGGTGTAAGAGTGGGTGGTGCTGGTATGTGTGCCATTAAGAGCCATCCACATCCCAGAACCAACTCCACTTCTGAAGATCTCCAAAATGCTCTCCCAACCATCAACCCAAACCCCAAAGAACCATTAAGACCCTCTCTCCTGAGACTCCTCTTTGCCAAACACACCCCCATCTGGACCTAGAGACGCATAAATTGAGGACTCTCAGCAGAAGAGAGAACACAAATTGATTCGTTACATCTCCGATGGCCTCCTCTGGAGACTGCCTGCTTGCCACCCATGCTCCTGGAACTTTCTTCCTGGAACCCTTCCTCCCCCCTGGAAATTTCCTGAGAACTGTCTCCCTCCTCGGTAACCTCTAAGGAATTGTGACCTTGCCATGGAGAAGCACTAATAAGGTCCCTACTGAATGCCACTGCTTCCGTGAGCCCTGGGGGATCCCATGCCAAGGATAGAGGGAAGTAGGGAAGTTTCCTGAGTCTAGGAGAAGCTGGAAAGAGGTGGCATCTGGCACCCCCAGGATGACCTTGTGTGGACCCTAGTGATCCCATCATATAAGGACATGCACTGAGTTTACCCTCATTTGATCCTCACATCCTTTTTGCTCCGTCTCCCAAACACAATGCCTATCACTCAGACACCCCCCCACCAAAGACCCCTTCCCTCCAACCCTCCCAGGAGTCATGTTCAACGACGTCTATGCAGCCTCCAAGTTTGCACTGGAAGGATTCTTCGAGAGCCTGGCTATCCAGTTGCTGCAATTCAATATCTGGTGAGGAGGGGGAAGCGGCAGACTGTGCGGGGGCGGGAGAGACAGTGAGAGGGAGAGGAGGGAGAAGGATAATAGGGCGAGTATTTGGAGGCAGGGGAGGAGGGAGATCAAGGACTGGGGGATGGAGACAGTGGAGAAGATGGAGAGAAATGGAGGGAGGAGGAGAGGGGCGCAGTTGTGGACAAAATGGGGCAACATGTGGGTTGGGGCACCAGACCCACTACCACCCCTGCCCCATCCCCAGCGTCTCCCTGGTGGAGCCGGGCCCTGTGACCACCGACTTTGAGGGGAAGCTCTTGGCTCAGGTTTCCACGGCTGAATTTCCAGGCACTGATCCTGACAGCCTGGGCTACTTCAGGGACTTGTACCTCCCAGCCTCCAGGGAGCTCTTCCGCTCTGTGGGTCAGAGCCCACAGGAGGTGGCCCAGGTGAGTGGCCCAGCAGATATGGTTCAGGTATGTTGGGGCACTAAGGGAAAGGGGGGTCCCTGGATCCCAGCACTCAGGGCTCCATCCCACAGGCCATTGTCAAGGTCATCAGCTCTACCCGACCACCCCTGCGCAGACAAACCAACGCCCGCTACATCCCATTGACCGCGCTCAAAGCCGTGGACCCCTCGGGCAGCCTGTACGTGAGAACCGCCCACAGACTCCTCTTCCACTGGCCTCGCCTCCTCAGCCTTGGCCTTCGATGCCTGGCCTGTGGCTGCCTCCCAAAACGGGTGCGGCCGGGATGAGCAGAGCTGAGCCTGATCCTCCTCACCTGGGAACAACCAGGGCTCCTCAGTCCACACCCAACTCAGTGGGCCACCACAGACTCATTCATTCATTCATTCATAAGTCATTCATTCATTAAGTCACTCAGCAAACTGCCTCACTGCTCTGTGTCTCCACATGGCTAAAATCCCAGAAAGGGCCTCAGGTTCCAGGCACAGACCCCTCCATGGTTCAGGCTGGAGCAGAAAGAGGGACACTGGGACTCTAGGCTAGGAAGCCCAGAGCAGGAAGCCAGTTACCTGTCCAGGAGGAAGGGGTGTCACAGACCTTGAAGGATAAGATAGGTCTGCCTCATTCAACTCCTAACTTCATCATCTTGGGCTGGTGGAGAGGCTCAAGTGGTGGAGCATCTGCTTAGCAAGTGTGAGGTCCTGAGTTCAAATCCCAGTCCTACCAAAAAAAAACTTAATGTCAATTTTTTTGCTGGTACTTTATACTTGCACATCAGGCACTTATGGCTTGAACCACACCTCCAACCCTAAAAAAATTTTTTTAAAATAACTTCCTGATCCTGGTCCTGGGAACACAAGGATGATGCAGAACCAAGGCTCCTCCCCACTCCCCCCCACCCCGCACAGAATTCTCCACTTTCCTGGTCATATACACCATATTAACACAAGGTGTTTGTGCACAAGCTCGCCATCTATACCTGTGTTTTCACTGAATATATATTTATAACCACAAGCTGTCATTATACTAAATATTTAGTAAAACTAAATTTCTTTAAATTAAAAAAAATTAAAATGCAAACAGGATCCCCCTCTGAACCTCCAAATGTCAGGTTCCCTTGCCTTCCTCCAGAGACCTTGGAAGAAAATGGACTTTGGGCTGAAATGCTGGCTCTGCTCTTACTTCACAGGTGACTCCCAGGGTGGCCGTGGATAGGTGACCGCCTACTCAAACTCTGTAAAGCAGAGGTAGCAATAACTGAGCTGGGGTGACAGGAAAAGTCCCCCTGCATTGGGCCACTTTATATGAGAAGTGCGTGTTGTCAGGTTGCTGGAGTGGCTCCATGGTAGAGCACCTGTCTAGCAAGCACAAAATGCCTCCAAAAAAAAAAAAAGTGTGTGTGTGTGTGTGTGTGTGTGTGAGAGAGAGAGAGAGAGAGAGAGAGAACTGAGAGGTATGTGCTCTACTACTGAGCTACATTCTCACTCCCACTTCTTTTTTTTTTTTTTAAGCCAGAGTCTTGCTGTGTAGCCCAGCCTGGCCTTGTGATCCTCCCACCTGGATTACAGGCATGAGCCACCTAGCCCAGCCATACATGAATTATATTCAAAGACAATTATATCTCCTTGTCTGGAAGGAGAAGGCACCATAGGCATGCTAAGTAGATGCAGTTGTCCATATTTCATCATGGGGGAGGGGAGTGAAGCACGCAATGGGAGGATTTGATTTAGGATGAGGTTGCTGTGTGTCACTGCTTACTTTCCATCTATTTCCCAAGGCTGGCAGTGCCATGATCCCCTCCATCCCCTAGAACTACCCCCTAAAAATTCCCATGTTGCTTAAATCACTCAGAGTCAAGTTCTGCTGGCTGTAGCAAAGACTCCTCCTAAGTCTGAGTGGTCACTATGAAAACAAGTCCAGTGAGGGGAAGCCGTTATTAAACTCTGGCTGGATGCCATCGCTGACCAGTGGACATTGGCCAAAGACAGGAGACTCCTGGTTCTGGATTGATACATGGTGCCCGCCCCCAGCCTCCCCAATCTCATGGAGATAAGTCTCTTCTTCCAGTGGTCAGGCCAACACTGGACTCTGGTTCCTCTGCCACGATGTGAGCTGATCCTTTCCTTCTTTCTTTATCTTTTATTTTTCTTGCAGTCCTGGGGTTTAAACTCAGGCCTTGTGCTTGCTGGGAAGGTGCTCTACTACTTTAGACACACCCCACCCCTGATTTTTTTTTTTTTTTTGCTCTCTCCCTTCCTCCCTCTTACCATCTCTTTTTCTGTTTCTCTCTCTGTCTCTGTCTCTCCTTCCTTGCCTCTGTCTCTGTCTCTGTGTGTGTCCCTCTATCTTTGTGTCTCTCTGTTTCTCCCTCCCTCTGTCTCTCTATGTGTGTCTCTCTCTGTCTCTGTCTTTCTCTGTCTCTCTCTGACTCTCCCTCTTTCTGGAGGAGCTTTTATCTTTTTTTTGTGTGTGTGGTACTGAGTTTTGAACTCAGGGCCTCACCTGTGCTAGGCAGGAGCTCTATCACTTGAGCCATGCTCCAGCCCTGTGTCTCTCTCTGTCTCTGTCTCTTTTTTACTCTTTTGTGTTGTGCCTCCAGGCTCCAGCTCCAGTGCCTCCAGCAAGCTAAACACATGCTCTGCCACTCAGCTACATCCCGGCTAACCTATCGGGAGCTGTGGTTCACTTGATTTGTAAAATATATTCAGAGCCAGCCACTCAGCACCTTCATGGCGGCCGACCTTTGTAGCATCTGCTGGGGAACAGTTGGCCCTCTGTAGCTGAGGGTTCTGCATGAATCCAGTCAAGTGCAGACAGAAAGCAATAAAAAAAAATATGAATAAGCTGGGTGTAATGGTGCACACCTGTAATCCCAGCACTTGGGAGGTGAAGTCAAGAGAAATGCAAGTTCAGGGCCAGTCTGTGCAACATAGTAAGACCCTGTCTCAAGAAAAGGAATACAAATTTAAAAATACAGCACAACAACTACTTCCATAGCATTCACATCGTATGAGGTATTGCACGTCACCTAGAGACGGTGAAAGTCTAGAGGGGGCGAGCATGGTGGAGCACGCCTGTTGTCCCAGTTATGCAGGACGCACAGGTAGGAGGACTTTGGTCCAGGCTGGCCCCTGGCAAAAATGCGAGAGCCTATCTGAAAAATAACTATAGCAAACAGGGCTGGTGGGGTGGCTCAGTGATAGAGCACCTGCCTAGCAAGTGTGAGGCCCTGAGTTCAAACCCGAGTGCCACCCCTCAAAAAAAAGACATTTTGAAAACAATTCTATCCTCTTTCCCTCAATTGTCAGATTCTTGACTCCCCCACCCTTTCCTGTTATGATTGGGTTTTCTAGCCAGGTCTTCTTCATGATTATACAAGGGGGAAAAACTTATGAATGAATAAACAAACTGGGATATAGCCAGACAATGGAGTATTACTCAGCATTGAAAAGGAAGGAAATTCTGACACATGGTACAATGTGGATGAACCTTGAGAACTGTGAAGTAAAGCCAATGACAAAAAAGAAAAGTGCTGCATAATCCCAAGTATATGAAATATCCAGAGAGCACATAAATCCAGCCATTTGTAGAAGAGTGAAGGCCAGAGGATGGGAATTAGTGTTTCATGGGGATGGAGTTTGAGTTTAGAAAGGTGACAAAGCTCTAGAGATGGTGGTGATGGCTGCACAGCGGTGCGAGTGTGCACTGCACACTTAGAAATGGTGAAATAGGCCAGGCATGGTGGTTCACCCCTGTAATCCCAGCCTTCAGGGAGGCAGAGGCAGGAGAACTTCGAGTTAAGACCAATCTGGGCTGCATAGCAAGATCTTGTTTCAAATAAAAAAGTTAGGATAGCAAATTTTGTATTATGTATACTTTGCCATAAATTTGAAAAGCAGCACAAAATGTTTTAACAGGAAAAAAATACCAGTTTATCTTTTTTTTTTAACTTTTTCACTAAAATCAGCTTACACACAACACAAGATTTTGCACTTCAGTTCTGTTCTTGAATCATATACCTTGGAGGGTTTTCTGTGTCATCTTCATTCTCTAGCCAATCTGCGATATATTGCTTTGTGTAGATAAGTGGTAATTTATGCAACGGGTCCGCACTGAGCGATCTTTGGGCTGGCTCCAGGCTTTTGCTATTGTATAAACATCTGTGTGGAGTAGCTCTGTGTGCACACATCATTTCACACATGTGCAAGTGTTTCTTCATGAGTTTCCTTGGCAAAGAATCTATGCGTTTGCAATTGTTAGGAACACAAGCAAATTCATCTCCATCCTGGAGGACAAGGGTGTGTGTGCTAGCTCACTTTCCACAGCCTTGCCATTCAAGTGTTATCACTCAAGTTTTAATTATTTTTATTTGTGTGTGTGTGGTACTGGGGCTTGAACTCAGGGCCTACACCTTGAGCCACTCCACCAGGCCCCTTTTTGTGTTGGGTACTTTCAAGATAGGGTTTCCTGAACTATTTCCCCGGACTTGCTTCGAACCTCGATCCTCCTGATCTCTGCCTCCTGAGTAGCTAGGATTACAGGCGTGAGCCTAGCTGGCCTGGCCAGCCAATGACTCCTACTTCACTGAGACTTTCTGATCTCAGCCTAAACAGCACTTCCTCCAAGAAGCTTGACTGCCCAGGCTAGCCGAGGTAGCAGCTCCTTATTCCACCTGAGTTCTCCTTGACCAAGCTGGGGACAGCCTAGCTCTAATTACACCTGGATTTCAGATGCAGATAGGAGTAATATCAAACCAGCAGCCCCAAATGTGGCTGCTGAATTCTTCCTCCCTCTTAGCAGCAGATTTCTCTTGAAAATTCTCACTGCCATGCCAGCAGAGACCTCTGGGGACCAGGAGACGAGGCATAAGAGATCAGGAAGCAAGGGCAAGTTCTGAAACCTTGGAGAAAACAAAAGGACCAAGGAGCCTGCCCTGGGTGGGGGACTGGGCTGGGGTACTGATAAGCTGGGCACATCTCTGGACCTCAGTTTCCTCGTCTGTAAATCAGAAAGTCCCTGATACCGTCCTGCCACGTGTTTAATAAATCCTATTTGTGAGGTGGAGAGTTATAGGAATTATCTCTAGGCCTCCTGAGTCCTGCCCAGCCTTTTCCCGGGAAGTCCTGGGCTCACAGCCCTTGGGCTAGGGGGTAAAAAAAAATTTTTTTTTAATTTTTAAAAGCCACAGGCCACCCATCCTTGCACGGACGCGTGCATCCCGGGCCGGGAGGAAGCAGCTCCAGTGCAGCAGCTGCTCCCGGCGCGCGGCCAGCGGCCCCGCCCTCCCCGCCCGCATTCCTGCGGGTGGGGCCCCGGCCGGCCGGAGGCGCGCTCGCGCCCTCTAGTGGCCAAGTGCGGGAGGACACGTGGACTTGACCGTGAACAGCCAAGTGACAGCTCCAACCCACAGGCTGGATGTGAGGCCGACCTTATGGTGGAACCCACAGCTTCTCTCCTGTCCTCTTGATCTTCCTCTTCAGGTGCTCAATAGATGGTTATTGAGATAGATCCGGGATTGAAGTCAGGAACAGATATATGAAACCTAAGGTCCTATTACTGGGGAGCTGGGAGAGAAAACAGGCAGGGACCAAGAATAGAGCCCCTGACATCTCACCTATGGTTGTTTTTGTTTTTGTTTGTTTTTGTTTTTGTTTTTGGTGGTGCTGGGGTTTGAACTCAGGACCTCACACTTGCTAGGCAGGTGCTCTACTATTTAAGTCACTCCACCAGCCTGGCTTCGAACCTCGATCCTCCTGATCTCTGCCTCCTGAGCAGCTAGGATTATAGGCGTGAGCCACCGGTGGCTGGCAAAATTTGAGAATATATATATATATACTTTGCAGTACTGGGGTTTGAACTCAGGGCCTAACATTTGCTAGGCAGGCACTCTACCACTCGAGTCACTCCACCAGCTCTGACACCTTTGGATCAGCCTCTGTTCCAGACACCTGAGAGTCCCCGCTTCCAACAGAGGGAAGCTGTGAACACCTGGTGGGGGACAAAGCTGTGAAAGGAAAGCACCCCCTCCCCCAGGCAAAGGACATCTGAGCTGTTAAAGATTCCCTGACAGCTGGGGATCATGAATGGGTACACTGTTCTAGAACCTTCCAAATTAAACCTGCTCTGCGCCCCACCACCACCTTCCAACCAGGTCTCAATTTGATTCTCTTGATTCTTTGGTAGTTACCTCTCAACTGCCTGACACACTGGGCAAACCGACCAGCCTTTGTGGGCCTCAGTTTCCCCATCTGTACAATGGGTGCAGGGCTGTGAGAGTTCCAGGAGTTGCAAAGAGCCCATGCTCACCACTGTGTCCCCAGCTTGCTGAGTAGAGCCAGGCTGGTGGCAAATGCTAAATGAGTCTTTGTTGGATAAGTGTCTGTTATCACTGTGTTGGTGTTGGGGAGTCAGGGTCCTTGCAAGAGGCGAGACTCCTCAAGCTGGCAGAGAAAAACCTCAGACAGAATCGTCTGCAAGCAGAGATCACTTTAATGGGTCCAGAAAACGGCCAGCAAGAATTTTTTGAGTACAGAGAAAGCCTTCTTCCGGGAATGTTTCAAGCATGATGTGTTTTCTTCTCTGGTTTTAATATGTATAATTTGTCTGCTGGAAAAGGAGGCTGTCGTGACGAGAACAATGGACAATGGCCACATTTACCAAGCAGCTCCGGCTCCTGCAAGGCAGGGGGAACCCCGCTGTGGTGCACGCTGGGTGCAGAGGGACCTGGAGCCTGGCAGGCAGAGTTTGACCCCTGGGTTTCTCAGAAGGCTCCATAATGGCTGGTCCTGGGGCCAGACGGCAACATGCCACATGCTTTGCTCATGCAGGGGATTGGGAAATGAGAATGAAATGCTTGCTGTGTCCCAGAAACCGCCACCAAATTCACAAGGGCAGGGGTGGGGACAAGCCACCCGGCCTGGCGGGGGAGGGAGACTTTTCTACCCATCCCTACCAGCTAAGCCCAAGCAAGTCCCAGGGTCAATGTTCTGGGGACCACATGGCTCCCCACTGGGAGAGGGGGAGGCCCCCAGGATAAGATCCTTTCTGTCACCTGTTCCCAGTCCCCCTCAAAGGGACAGCCCCCTCCTATCCTCTTCCACTGGATTACGGGAATCCCTCCCCACACCTGTTTAGATATTAACCCAGCCAGCAGAGGCCAAGGCAAACAGGCCAGAGCCGGGGCAGACCAGGGGCCACATATCTGCTGTCTGCCTCACCATGGACGCCACCTGGCCCCTGGGCTTCATTCTGATCCTCATGGGCGGCCCCCTCGTCCACGCTGAGCCACTGTGAGTCGGGGGTCTTCGGGGACTCGGTGACGTCCTGCTTGTGTCATGTCTACCTGACTCCCCTGTTCATGGGGTGGCCCCCTTCTCCGGTTGAGTCATGTGTCCCTATGTCTCCTCTCTGTCAGGTACATCCTGGTGACCCCCCGAGTCATGAGAGTGGGCAGCCCCGAGAACATCCATGTCCAGGCCCACTCAGACTCCACGCAGCCTCTCGAGACGCCCCTCGGGTGAACGTCACCGTGTGGGACTTTCCCCTGAGGATGACAATGGTGGCTAGGACACAGCTCTTGCTGTCACCGAAAAATGACTTTATGACTCAGATGCTTGTGACGGTGGGTGACAGGCCAGGATGGGTGAAAGGGAGGCCCCATGTCAGCAGAGAGGGGCTGACCCTAGGGCACTTCTCGTAAGGGACACTGGAGAGTTGACACAGTGTCTCTATGTCATCATTCTGTTGTGTCCATTGGAAATCAGAAGTCCCCTAGGGCAGAAAGAACTGCCTCTAGCCGGACAGACGTCTCTCTGTGAGTTATACGGGCGCCCTCTGCTGGTCATTGAGGAAGTTGAGCGTGGACTGGGTTTCCGTGGCTCGGTGCCCTTGTGCAGTGAGCAACCCGAACAGCTGCACATGGCGTCCTTGCTCCCCAGGACTGACCCAGAGGGCTCCCTTCCACTCAGTTGCTTCTTCCAAGATCTGCCACAAGGTTTTTCCCCTAGACCCCAGCAGAACTTGAGGAATGTGGGTATGTCTCCCCCAGGTTCCTGAGTCTCTGGTATACCCGGCCAAACCAGGACAGCAATATATCATCATCCGGGTGGCTTGGGGGCCCCCCTCAGCCTCCTCTTTCATGGAGAAGATGGTGCTAGTGATTCCCCATGCTGGCTATATCTTCATCCAGACCGACAAGACTATCTATACCCCAGAGCACTCAGGTACAGCCCCTGGGGACTTAGCTTGGGGACAGATGCTAACTCCTCTCCACAATGTCCCTTAATGTTCAATATCCTCCCATCCATCTACAAAAGTCCCCTCCACCACCACCCCCCACGATCCTAAAGGCCACCCCTCTTTGCAAGCCATCTCCCCCCGCCCTCTATCAGACACGCAGCATGTCCCCATATTCTCTAGTCCAGTACCGGGTGCTCACGGTGAATCACAAGATGGACCCTGTGTCTAGAACATTCACGCTGGACATCAAGGTGGCCTCTCCCCCTGGGCGGGGAGGGGGAGGGTGGATCTTAGACACTGGGGTCAAGACACATGCTGGAGATCTAAAGGTCCTGACCCCTGTCCCCACAGAACCCAGAGGGGATCACAGTGACCAGTCAGAGCCTGCTGGCCAAAGAAGGACTTTTTGCAAGTTCTTTTCACCTACCGGAGCTTGTGAGGTGCGCTGTGGAAACCCTAAGGGCTGGCGTGGGCGGAGGTGATCCCCAGTCTCCCTGACTCCTGACTCTCTCATCGCAGTTTGGGGACCTGGACCATAGAAGCCAGTTACCAAAGTGCAGGCAAGCAGAAGTTCAAGGCCACCTTTGACGTGAAGGAGTACGGTGAGGAGGCCGTGGGCAGGGAGGCCCCAAGGAGCACGTGGGGACCGGGGCTGGAGATGGATGGGATGTCTCAAGAGTGGCCGGAGGGCTGACGTGCACCTGCCATGTGCCTGGGAGCAGAACTGTGTGTTCCAGCCCCTGGGGGATGTCAGAGTCACAGAGGAAAGAGAAAGATAAGAAAGGGACAGAATGACATGCTGATAGTCACCTTGCTCTTATCCTACACAGTGCTCCCGTCTTTTGATGTCCAGCTGATGCCAAACAAGATGTTTTTCCACCTTAATGACGAGAGCCTGGACGTTGACATCCAGGCGCGGTGAGGCTGATCACCGCCCTCCCCCACCCCGGCCTGCTATAGGACAGGGACACCAAGAAACAGAGTGGGTAGAGAGACATGGCCCACGTCTGAAGGACCGAGGGTGGCAGGGAGCTCTGCCGCCACCCCTGAGACATGCCAGGCCCACGAGACTGTCCCCCATCTTTGAAAACCCACAAGTGGCACAGGCCACCACCTGGGTCCTCCAGGCTTCTCGGCTCCCTCTACCATCGTGTGAGGTTGCACGGGCCCCATGACATATTTGTCACCTCCCAGGCTCGTGTGCATTGGCGACAAAGCCATCTAAGATTCCAAGGGCCACCTGTGCCCCTCCTGAAGCTGCCCAGCGAGATCCTTGGAGCCACCTCTGCAGCCAACAAAGGTGACCCTCTGTCCTCCAGGTATATATTCAACAAGCCAGTGGACGGACATGCCCTGGTCATCTTTGGAGTGAAGATGGACTCCCGCCGTATCCCCATCCAAAGCTCTCTGCAGAGAGTGGAGGTGACCAAATTGTGACACCCCCCTCTTGCCTCCTCTCCACCCACCTCCCATCACTCCCCCAAGAAGCCATCTCCTTCTGTCCTCCCAAGAACAGGTCTCTGAAGGCCAGGGCCACATCTCCCTCCAGAAGGACCAGCTGATGGCCATGTTTGAAGGCCCAGAAAAGGACCTTCTTGGGGCCTCCATCTTTATCAACGTCACCGTGTTCTCCTCAGGTGGTACCCTCCCCCCAAGGCTCTGACTGAGGGCCAAGATACTGATTTTTTCCCAGCTCAGACTCTTCATCCATGGGACCTCAGGCCACCTCTGAGCCTGCTCCCTCATCAGAGGAATGAGGAGACATCAGCAGGGCTGGGAGGAGTGAAAATTGTGCAGTTGTCTTTCTCTGCCTCTGCTGGGTACAGTACTTCACCCCTGTAATCTCAGCTACACAGGAGGTAGAGATTGGAGGATTGAAGTTTGAGTCCAGGCCCAGGCAAACAAGTTAGTGAGACTCCCATCTCAATCACTAAGCCACAAATAAAAAGATGAGTTGCTCACGGCAGCAGCCACACCACTTGCCCAGGAAATTGAGCCACTGGCCGACTCCATGGTCCCCCTGTCTCCACAGGGGGCGAGATGGTGCAGGTGGAGCACTCAGGGGTGAAGATCGTGGAGACACCATACACCATCAAGTTCATCAGGACACCACAGTATTTCAAGCCAGGAATGCCTTTCCACTTTAGGGTGAGAGTCTGGGCTCACTCCACCCAGGGACTCAGGGCCCCCTACCCAAAACCACTCTGGAGGGGGGCGGTTCAGACCAAAGTTGAGTCCATCCTACTCCCCAATTTCACTTCAAGTCTTGCTCCAAAACTTTGAGATGCCCAGTGGGTATTAAGAAAGTTACAGCCGGGAGTTGGTGGCTCACGCCTATAATCCTAGCTCCTTGGGAGGCTGAGATTGGGAGGATCATGGTTCAAGACTAGCCCAGGGAAATAGTTCAGAAGTCCCCATCACCAAAATAGCCAGAGCAAAATGGACTGGAGGTGTGGCTCAAGCAGTAGACCATCTGCTTTGCTAGTGTGAAGCCCTGAGTTCAAACCCCAGTCCTGCCCAATACAAGAAAGTTAGAGGCACTCTTCAGTGGCAATCCTATTCTGAGTTTTCCCCAAGCCCTCCATGTCTCCTCCTACCCTCTCTACTCCCAGTCTTCCCATCCCAACTAGCATGCCCACAGCCAGGAGCCGGCATAGTTAGACACCTCAAAACTCTAGGGGGCGCCACTCACAAAGACTGGAATGTGAAGGATGCCCTGGTGGTGCCCAGTGCACCTCTTGTACAACTGTACAAGGCGTCCTATCCAGATGGAAGTCTTGCTTTCTGCTTCTCACTCCAAGCCACACCTTCCCCGCCACCTGTCCTTCATCTCACCCCAGATTCTACCCCCAGGTCTTTGTCTCAAATCCTGATGGGTCTCCAGCCTCCGGTGTCCTGGTCCACTGCCAAAACCACAAAGTGCACACCTTAGAAGATGGCGTGGCTTCTCTGACCATCAACACAGATGCAAACCTGAAACAGCTCCCCATCTCGGTACCAACCCAACAGGGTAAAGGATGGTGCGGTTTTGGGGCTGTGTGAGCTGGGAAGGTTGGGTTTACTTGCCTGTGGCTCTCTGCAGGTGGAAACTGACACTTCTCTGTGGCCAAAGGCTTCAGCCACGATGACCGCCTGGCCTTACTCCACTCAGGAGAAGTCAGGGAACTTCCTGCACATTGAGGTGAAGACGCTGGGCACGGAAGTCGGCAGCAACATCCAACTAAGCCTCAACACGAGACATAGGGACTCTGGAGCCAAAGAAAGGATCACCTCTTTCACCATCATAGTGAGGAGCTAGAACCGGGGGCTGAGCCAAAGAGGTCTTTCCCCTGGGACCATTGGAATGGCGCCCCCTAGTGTTGTGTAATGGACGTCCTTGGCTTGCTGGGTTATGAAGGTGTGATGGTGGGGTGGCCTGGGACAGGCTCAGGAAAGGGCTGGCCTTCCCCTTCTTACCCTCGGTGTCTTTATCCCCAAGGTTCTGAGCAAAGGCTGGATTGTGAGTTCCAAACAGCAGTTAAAAAGCCCAGGGAGTGTCTACACGTCCGCCATTATTGACGTGACTCCAGACATGCTACCTTCCTTTCGCATTTTGGCCTTTTATTTACTGCCCAGGGGAGTGAACCAGGACCCTGAGCTGGTGGCTGACTCCATATGGATTGACGTGAATGACAGATGCATGGGACACGTATGCCAAACTCCTTGTAGCTGTAACATCACCATCAAAAAATTCTAGCAAGGGCAGGACATGGTGATGCATGCCTGTAATTCCAGCTATGTGGGAGGTGGGGATGAGAGGAGAGTGGTAAAAGTTGGTCCTAGATAAAAAGCAGGAGACCCTATCTGAAAAATAAACTAAAAGCAAAAAGGGCTGGAGGTGTGGCTCAAGTGATAAAGCACTTGTCTAGCAGGCACAAGGTTCTGAGTTCAAACCCCAGTACCACCAAAAAAAGGTTCTAGCAAGATCTGTACAAGTTCAAGGATTCCCAGCCTGGAGGGGGCCATGGGGTCAGGGGGCAAAAAAGAGGAAACTATGTGGCCTTAAAAGCTCAACACAGGGTGAACTTGGTCTGGTGGGGTTCTACAGGGAACGCAAAGCTGAAAATGGAGTTCATGACATCTCTCTTTCTCTCGGCTCAGTTGAAGGTTGGCTTGAAGAATGATGGGTTTGTTTCAACTTTGGAACCCAATAGTAAAGTGGAGCTGAAGGTGACAGGTGACTCAGAGGCCACAGTAGGGCTGCTGGCAGTGGACAAGGCTGTCTATGTTTTGAACAGCAAACACAAGCTCACTCAGAAGAAGGTGAGACCAGTGGGCTCTGGGCTAGGTGGTTGATGGAAGATTCTAGCTGGAGCCCTTCAGCTGTGAGAGTGGCAGCATCCATGGTGTTGTGGGTTCTGGGAGCCGGTGCAAGGCATAGCAACCGGATGTGGCAAGAACTCAACAGATGGCAGAAGGATTTAGGATTATTATTTGAGCTTGTAATTCCAGTGCACCATGGCTCCTTTCCTGAAGGGGTGAGACAGGTCCCAAACCCAGGTATACCTGTCTTGACCCCCAGATCTGGGACGTGGTGGAGGAACATGACATTGGCTGCACGGCAGGCAGTGGGAAGGACAGGCTTGCTGTGTTCAAGGATGCTGGGTTGGATCTGAAGATCAGCACCGGGATGGAGACCAAGGCAAGCTCAGGTACAGGCACGGGGCAGGGATTACAATCCAGACCTTGCCACTTATCATGGGCTGGTCACATTTTCTCCCTGAGTCTCCACTGCTGTGTCCATAAAAATAGAGGTAATCATTGAGCATCCCTAAATACAGAAATGCAAACTCTGGAATGGTCTAAAATCTGAGAAAAAAAAATTTAGTACCAATGCAATGTTCAAAAATTTCAGATTTCAGGATTTCAGATTTCAAATGTGCAACAGGTAGGCCATGAAAATAATCCAAAATCTGAAATCCAAAGCATTTATGGTCCCAAGCATTTCACTTTATTTATTTATGGCAGTACTGGGATTTGAATTCAAGGCCTTTGGCTTTCTATGCAGGTGCTCTACCACTTGAGCCGTACCTCCACCCCTGGTCCCAAGCATTTCAGATAAGAGATAACTGAAGTATAATAATAATAATAATAATAGTAATAATAGAATAACTGTCATAATAGAAGTAACTCACTCTGCATTGGTTAAGATAGATGTTTGGGTCCGGCACTGGTGGCTCACCCTGTAATCCCAGCTACTCAGGAGGCAGAGATCAGGAGGATTGCAGTTTAAGGCCAGCCCTGAGAAAATATTTCAGGAGACCCTATCTCAAAAAAATACCCATCACAAAAAAAGAGGTGGCAGAGGGGCTCAAGCAGTAGAGCACCTGCCTAGCAAGCATGAGGCCCTGAGTTCAAACCCCAGCACTGCCAAAAACAAAAATAAGAGTTTGGAGGGCCATGTATACCAGAGGTAAAAATTAACAGTAGCACTCTTGCGGGAATCGCAAGCTGAGATAGGGGACACTGAGGCAGTTTAGCAGGAAGCAGCATTTTATTGTGCTGGCACAGACTCAGGGGACTCACGTCCAAAGGCTGAGCCCGGAGAACAAAGAGGTCTCACCTTATATGCCCTTGCAAACAGATTACAGAAGCAAAAAGCAAAGCTCAACCCACATATGACTGCATGTGACTTCCTTGGCTATTTCATTCCCCCAGCGCTATGTGACCGTCATGCTTCAATTCTTTAAGCTTTATCTCTCTGCTTTGCCATCCCCTCCCCCGCCTCATTTTTAGAACACAGCCTGTCTGTTTCTCTTCTGGTCCTCCTCCCTGATATATCATTCCCCTCTTTGATGCTCAGACCCACCTAGGGTCAAAGAGCATCATCTTGAATTAGAGATTTGTATTTCCATAGCCTCATTGCATGAGCAGCCATTTTTCTCTCTATAGTGGCCTCCATAATGGTCCTGATAGACTGCAATACCAGGGGACCAGGCAGGGATACTGCAGGACATGGCCCATCGCCCCAATTTCCATGACAAATGTCGCCTGCGCTGTCCCCTTACTCTGGGGCTTTTAGGATCACTCACCAGCAACCTCACAAACCTGGGGTACATGAGCCGATGTCACACCCGACAGTTGGGGAGTGCATGGCACAAAGTCTGGCTGTGTAGAGGTTCCAACAACGGCTCTCTTAGAACATTCAGTACATGGGGGAACCTTGTAAGGGCCAACCCAAAAGGTAAGAGCCCAAGTGTGTGGAGGAGAGCAGGGATCGCCCTCATCAGCGACAAGTATGAGTGTCTTCTCTCAGCTGTGACTACTAATGTTAATTATAGTCCTGATTTACTACATTTTGGGGGGCACTGGGGATGGAACCCAGGGTCTGCTCATGCTGGGCAAGTCCTCTGCCACTGTGCTACACCCCCTGCCCTCCTAAGTACTTTTGTATGCATGATCTCAGTGATAGAGTTCTGTTTATGCCCATTTTAAATTGCTGGAGAAATTCATGCCCATAGAGGTTAAGCAATTTACTAAGGATTGCCCAGCTTTTAGGGGGAAGAAAGGAAATAATGGAATTAAATGTGATGCAAATACAGCACTGAGCATCCAGTAAGTACCCAATAAATGCTATCTGGACCACTGTCCCCTCATTCTTCTCTCCGGCCCCCAGAGTGGCACTGTCCTCAGACTGCCCCTCCCAGCCCCCGCCGCCACCGCTCCCTGAAGAGACTGGAGACCAGGAGGAACGCAGGTGAGAACGGAAGTCTTCCAACCCACTGTGCCTCAGGGATGAGCACAGGAAATGTCGGGATTTCTAGCAAGGAGAGGCGTCATTGGGAATTCTGTGCCAAACATGGTGGTGCATTTCTGTAGTCCCAGCACTCAGGAGGTTGAGGTGGGAAGATCGAGAGTTCGAGGCCAACCTGAACTATGAAATGAGATCCTGTCTCAAAAGAAAAAAGTTTAGAAGGAATATATAAAGAGTAGAAGGTTGTTCACCGAGCCAAGATCAATCACCCTACTACAGGGGTGATATTGTAATTGATAAAATCTTAGAAAATTGTGGCATTTTGGTAACTATTGGAACAAAATTACACCCGTTTCAAATCACGCACACACGAGATTCCACTGCTGCACACACACACTTCTCTCCCACCTTCCAAATCTTACACAATTGCACCCCAGCGGCTGGATCTCACCCCCTTCAGGACTGTCACTGCAAAGGAGGCTGGGAAATGTAGTTCTTAGCTATCGAGCCTCTGATCCAGCGGTGAATGTAGCTGCATGGTTGCGTATGGTGGGCATATATCCAAGGCCAGGGTGGGGACTGGAAGAAGCAGCTCTGAGCCTGGGGGCTGGACGATGGGAGAGAGCCGTGGATGGTGTTAGAACCAGGTCAACTCGCCCTGGCTCTGCAGTGTGCATGCTGTGTGACCCTAGGCAAATGAATCCACCTCTCTGTTGTCCAGCTTCCTCATCAGAATTCAGCACTTGGGTTCAGTATGAGGCTCTGGGAGGATATGGGAAAGGCATGAGGCACAGTGTAAGCCGCAGGATCGTGGCTCAGAGGCAAGATGCCCCTGGCAGGAAGGTGGACGGGGCTCAGTTTGCTTAGGTTCTGACAACCCAACCCTGCTTCCTCCGCGAACTCGGGCCCACAGTGAACAAGTTCAACTCGGATCTGGAGCGCAAGTGCTGCGAGGCTGGGTTCCGAGAGAGCCCGGTGGGGCTGTCCTGCGTGGAGAGGACCAGATATGTCCGCCACGGTCCAGTCTGCGTGGCTGCCTTCCTAGACTGCTGCCACCTGTCCGAGACCTTGACCCGAGAAGCTCGGGAAGAACAGTTGATTCTAGGGACAAGTGAGAGGGTCAGGGCAGGGGACAGCGGGTGGGGCTCCCCTGAAGGCGAGGAGGGCCGCGGGACAGCCATGAAGGAGATGCCACCCTGCATCCGACCCTTCCCGCAGGCGATGAGGACGACGTGTTTGATGATCTCTTTCTGGACGACATGCCTGTCCGCACCTTTTTCCCCGAGAGCTGGCTCTGGAGGACACTTACTTTGCCAAAGAGTAATGCGGGGTAGGATGGCAGTCCCTCCTGGACACTGATCACGGGCCATGACCCCAGCAGTGACACCGCGGCTCAGGGTAGACCCAAGATAGGTCCACCTGGATGGGAGGAAGAGCCCAGTGGGTCCCCCAAAATGACGAGGCTTGTGATAGAGAGAGCAGGTGACGTCCCCCCAGTAGTGACCATCGCCTGGACAGTGACCTCTCTTGACCCAGAGCCTCTGTCCAGGCAGTGACCCCTCCCTCCCCCGTTTCCAGAAGCCTCTCTCAACACTCCTTCTCTGTGCAAATGCCGGACTCCATCACCACCTGGCAATTTGTGGCCATCAGCCTCAAGGATGGACAAGGTGACCCCGCAAGCCCGATGCTGAGGGCCCTACCCAGCCCCGGGACACCATCGGCTGAGTTGTAACACCTTGCACTCTGGTGGCCCTAGGCGTCTGCGTCTCTGAGCCCTTTGAGCTGATGGTGATGAAAACTTTCTTTGTGGACCTTAAGTTGCCGTCGTCTGTGATCCGGAACGAGCAGGTGCAGATCCAAGCTGTGCTGTACAACTTCAAGGACCAAGAGGTCAAGGTGAAGCGCCCCGCCCCGCCCGGCCAGAACACCTGTCAGCGTCGCCCCACACGGTGGGGCACGCCTGGAATCCCAGAACCGGGGGATGGAGGCGGGAGAGTCACAGTTTGAGGCCAGCCTAGGTTACACAGCAAGTTCGAGTCCAGCCTGAACTATAGAACAGGTTCCAGACCGGCCTGGGCTACGTAGTAAGATGCCATCCCCTCATGCCCCCCCAAAAAAGAAAGAAAACAGAAGGGGGTGCCAGGCACCAGTGGCTCTTGCCTGTAATCCTAGCTACTTGAGCGGCTGAGATCAGGAGGATCAAGGTTCATCAAATACTTCAGGAGATCCCATGTCCCAAATAATCGGAGCAAAATGGACTGGAGGTGTGGCTCAAGTAGTAGAACGCTTGCTTTGCAAGTGCAAAGTCCTGAGTTCAAATCCCATCCTACCCATAAAAGCAGGGGAGTGATGCTGAAGTGGTTCCTTTATTCCAGAGGGCCCCTTGGGAAAGCTGCTAAGATATTATCTCATTTAAATCTTGCAATGACTCCGTCTGATGGGTACAATGGTTTTAAGATAAGGAAAGGAAGGAACAGAGAGGTTAGGGGGCTGGCCCGAGGTCACACAGCATGGCCGTGACCCAGGCCACATGCAGTGCTGGCCCCTGGCTCTGAGCATTTCAGGTGGCATCCTGACCACCCCAGTACTTCAGGAACCACGTCCCCATCCTGCCCTAGGTCCGGGTAGAGTTTCCCCACAAGGAGCCGCTGTGCAGTGCCTCAAAGCCGGGAGCCCCGTCCCGCCAGGTTGTGGTGGTGCCGCCCACCTCCACCAAGATGGTGCCCTTCGTGCTCCTCCCTCTCGAGATTGGCCAAGTGGACGTGGAGGTGAAGGCTGTGGGCCTCGGAGTCATGGACCACGTGAAAAAAGTGCTCCTGGTCCAGGTACTGCCAAGAAGCGGGGTTCCCCTGGGCCCCGGCTGTGATCATGGGAGGACCAGTTGGGCCCAAATATATATATACATACATATATATATATATATGTATATATATATATACACGTATATATATATGTATATATACGTGTATATATATATATATATATATATTTTTTTTTTTTTTTACTTAAGCACAAGGTCAGTCAAGACTATTAATTCATTCAGCCCTCAGAACGCTTTTGAGAGAGGAACAATTACTTTCCTCCTTGTACAAAAGGGGAAACCAAGGCACAGCGAGGTTAAGTAAATTTTCCCAAGGATGCACAGCTCAGAAGTAGAAGAGCTGGGATTTGAGCCCAGACATTTGGGCCGAGTCTGTGACTTCACACCTAAGCCGCGCTTCCTCTTACTGTCCTTAGGACTGTCATCATCACTGCTGCTGCCATTGTTAACTTGCTTCCTCTCCCACAGGCCGGGGGCCGGATAGAGAGACTCTTTCACAGTATTTTTCTGAACCCTCAAGGTTTGTGGGGCCAGTGGGGGAGCATGTGGGGCCCTGGGGCCATGCTGGGGAGGAGAAAGGGGCTGAAATGTCCCAATCACAGAAGCTCGTACCCAATCAGGTCAGACCCAAGCGGAGCTGGTGCCAAGACGGGAGTTTTTGAACAAGGTGCCCGGCACGCAGGCGGAAGTGTTTGTCAGCGTCCAAGGTGGGGCGGGGGACAGGTTTGGGGTGGGGGCGGCTGGGTCCAGGTTCTGCCAGACACTGGGACAGGGAGGGCTGGGGGCTGACCTGGGGTGAAGGGGGAGTCCTGGTGGCCACTCCCTGAGGTGACCCCCTCACCCATCCGACAGGTGACATCCTTGGTGAAGCTGTCCTGGGCAGCCTAACGTCCAGGGAGGTGCAGGACCTGCTGACTGTCCCGGGTGGCTGTCCCGAGCAGACGCTGAGCAGGCTGGCCCCCGTGATCATCCTGACCGGCTACCTGGACGCCACCGGCCAGTGGGGCAAGGTCGGGGTGGAGCACAGGGACCAGGTGATAAAGAATATTATCAGCGGTGAGAGCGGGGACCCTCGGGGGGGCTTTTGGTTGGCTTGTTTGTTTGTTGAGACTGAGTCTCACTATGTAGGCCAGGCTGGCCTCAAAGTCGTGATCCTCCTGCCTCCACCTCCTGGGTAACTGGGATTATGGCTGTGCACCACCCCAACTTACTCTTTCAATTTGATGAGGCAATGCCCCCACGTAATCCTGTCACTGGGGTGAATGGCAGTGTCTTGGTCTCGCCAAAGAAAGAATTTGGGGGGGGGACACATAGAGTTTTAACTTAGCAAGATTTATTTGAAGCAAAGCCAATGCAAAAATGAGATTTATTGGATTAAAGGTGGAAGTACGCCGTGCAGATAAGTGGACTCAATGTTTTGCGCGTAATTGCAGAAATTTCTGAGAATTTCTAAGATTCAGGGAGTTGGGGGAGGGATGTGGGAGAGTGGTTCACCCCATTGTCATCCTCAGACCCAGGATGTTGATTTTGGGGTGCGTGCATGAAGCAGCAACCATAATGAGATGTAGGTGAGGACTGTCGGTGACTTCTGGGGTTAGGAAAGTCCCTACTGGGGTGGATGCTGGGGACCGTGGTGGCGGTAGCCTCATTGGCACCGTGACTCACACCTGCAATCCCGGCTACTCAGGAGGCAGAGATCAGGAGGATCGTGGTTCAAAGCCAGCCTGGGCAAATAGTTCTCGAGACCCCATCTCAAAAAAAAGACCCAATACAAAACAGGGCTGGCAGAGTGACATAGGTAGCGGAGGATCTGCTTAGCAAGCATGAGGCCCTGAGTTCAAACCCAGTACTGCAAAGAAGGAGAAGGAGAAGAAACCTCAATCGTAGTCAACAGTTATTCCAGGAAAATGGTGGAGAGAACATTTGGCAAAATGTACCTGGAGATGGTGTCACACCTGCTCCCTGGCTCCTCCGTGTTCCCACTGTGCACATTCTACCTGCCCTCCCCATATCAACCCCAAGTGGGAAACCCCAAAATAATCCCAGGGCACTTCCTTGTGGACCCCTCCCCAGGTTACAGGTAACCAACCCCAGGTACCACCAGAGATGGATGCCCCAGTTGAGCTCAGAGACCCGCAGGTAAATTCGGGCTGACCCCTCTTCCACGGGCTCTCGCAAACAGTAACTGCCCAGGTAACTCCCAGACACGGTCACCCCCAATGTCACCCCCAAATCATAAACCTGCGGGTGGACTTGGGCTATACACAGGTAGCAATACCCACAGCCAGGTGCGGTTCCTGCAATGTCCCGAGAACCCGGCTCAAGCAAAACAGGGCAAAGAAACAGAAAAGTCAGTGACAGCACTCAGAGTACCCCCAAGAGGGCCCCTCCAAGGTTGCACCCCAGAAATAACTTTGCAATGGGGACACCCCTGATTTATAGCCAAGAAGAAACCCCTCAAAGAAAGTCCCAGGCAGGGATCCCCCAGAATAACCCTCTCCCAGGTTACACCTGACCCCTCCAAGCTGCGACCCCCCCCAACACACACGTCTCCCTAGAGCCCCCAAGCTGACAATATCTCAGGTGACTCCCAGGCAGGTATGAACACATCCTGCATCCCCACACTCATACCTGGGCCCTGAAGCCTCCTTCACACACCTGCACAACGGCTGTTGAGGTCACACCTATCATGGGTGACACCTACATGTAACACAGTCCCAAGTCACACCCGGACCCCGTCCCCACTCTCCAGAATATTCCTGCTAACTGATGCCAGCTGCCCAGCCACATCTGCACCCCGGCTGTCCCCGCGAGCCTGGCTTTGTGTCTTCCCCAGGTCACATTCAAATGCTCACCCACCGCAGTTACGATGGCACTTACCATGTCACCAAGGGAAGCCCAGGCAGCACCTGGTAAGGATGGCCCGGTCACGGCTGCCACCACGACCTCAGAAGCCTGACAACTGGCTTTTTACGCTGGCAGACACGGGGAGCGGTGGACCCCCCCAGTGTGGGGAACCCCTTGGTTTCCATTCCCAGTTGTCATTGCTCCCTCTCCCAACAGGCTCACAAGCTACGTGTTCCGAATCTTCAAGCTGGCCTACCCCATAATGACCGTCAAGGTGCTCGACCTGCCATCCCTCTGCGCCATGGCTGAATGGATCATCTCCCAGAGACAGGCAGAGGATGGGAGCTTCTTGGAGAGAGGCCCTGTGGTCATGGCGTCCATGCAGGTACCTGCCGTCCCCTTGCCTGGACCAGTCAAACAAAACCTAGGGCTCTGAGCCCCAATAGGACACTAAAGTCCAACTCAGGTAGGAGGAGAAAGGGAAAGAGATGGGTGTCCCCCGGGCTGGGCCACCTGTGTTCTGTTACAATGCGGGTGAGCCTGAACACATCTGGGGTCCCATCTGTCCCATCAGAGTGACCATTCCTGACCCTACTCCCTCTGGGCCTGAGTCCTCTCAGTGTTGAGACAAAACATCTGTTCCCACCCAGTCTTCTCCACACCAGCCTCCTCCAGAAACATCTTTCAAACACAGCCTGGCTGGGTGTGGTGGTGCATGCCTGTAATCCCAGCACTCAAGAGGCTGAGGCAGGAGGATCTTGAGTTTCAGACCAGCCAAAGTTAGATAGCAAGACCCTGCCTCAAAAAATAATCCAACACAATGGGTTGGCGGAGTGGCTCAAGTGGCAAGCAAAACTCCCTGAGTTCAAACACCAGTGCCACCAAAACAAAACAAAGAAAAAAGAAAAGTCAAACACAACCTGGTGGGTCTCTCCCCTGCTCAAACACCTTCCAGGCTCCCAGCTGTCATTTTATCTTTTCTCTCACGGCTCATTGCTCATGACTCACATTTAATTCCTGTGGGTTCCCCAAATCACCTCTGTCTTTTTGCATATGCTACCCTCTAGGCACAGAATAGCCTTCCTTCATCCATTTTTTTTCCTCCCCCTAAAGTGGCCAAATTTTGTTTTCTTTCAAGATTTAGCTCAGACACTATTTCCTCCAGGAAGCCTCCCCAGAATACCAGCCCGGTGCCTGCCTTTATCATTGCACCTATCCTATTACTCACTCACTCACTCATTCAACAAACATTGATTCAGAGACTTCTGTCCACCAGGTTCTGTGCTGGGCAGAAGGGAACCATCTAGGTAAATGACACATACAATCCCTGCCCTGTGACACTCCCAAGATACTGGAGGTGGAGGGAGGCGGAAGTTCACCAAATAATTATAATTAGCAATTGTTGATTTGGCTTTTTTTTTTTTTCTGGTACTGGGGATTGAACCAAGAGCTTCGCACATGCTAGGCAAGCGCTCTTCCACTTCAGCCATGCTCCCAGCTCAATATAAGTCGCCATCCTTTGAGATAAAATCATGTTATGTTCCACAGGAAAGGAAAATCAGGAGAGAGTAGCTTTCAGGGGCCCGGGGCATAAACAGTAATCTGAAAATGAGCTAGGGCTTGGTTGGGGATCTTGGGAATGGAAAACTGAGCTCCAGGCAATGTCAGCAGCACTTGCAAAGGCCCTGTGGCACGCTGCAGGAGGGAGAAGAGAGGACGGCATGCCCACGGCACATAGATAGGACACAGGGCAGTCTGTCCTGAGGCCTGAGAGAAAGGAAAGATTCAGATCCCCAAGTCTACAGGACTTCGGGGAGCAGGTATCATTCAGAACATTGGGAAGCGTTTGCTGAATGAAACACTGAGTGAATGAATGAGGGAGTGTTTAAGGAATGAACGTGAGTGAATGAATGAAGGAATGAGAACATGAAGGAATGAATTGAGTGAATGAATGATCAAATGAATGAGTGAAGCCGGGCGCCAGTGTTGCACGCCTGTCATCCCAGCTATTTGGGAGGCTGAGGCGGGATGACCATTGGAACCCAGGAGTTCGGGGCAGCATCTAAAATAACAGTAACAGGTGTGGACTCTTGGCAGCCTTCATCAGGAGCTGGTATTTGCACAAGACCTAAAGAGGTGAGGGTGCAAGTTATATGGTCAACTAGAAAAACAGGGTCCCAAGCAGAGGAAGCAGCATGTGCAAAGGGCCTGAGACTGGAAAGTGCCCTGCATGTCAGAGGGACACCAAGGAGGAACGTCACTATGGCTGGAACAGAGTGAGTGAGGGCAGGAAGGTGACGTGACAGATCAGGCACCGTGCCTTAGGCCATTGGGAGGATTGGGCTTTTCCTCTGCGTAAGGTGGGAGCCATGGAGAGTCCTGGTCAGAAGAGGGAGTCACCCGGTTCTGGCCGCTGTTAAGTGGGGACAGTTACCGGTTTACTGTGACAGCCCAAAATAGCAGATATTTATTCTCTCAGTGCCGCAGGCTACAAGTCCCAAATCCGGGTGGTGGCAGGGTCACGTTCCCGCCCCAGGCTCCAGGGAGGAGTCCTCTCCTCCTCCTCTTCTCTTCTCTCAACCTCCTCCTGGCTCCTGTGGGTTGCCAGCGATCCGGCCTTCGTTGAGTTGGCCTCAAACCACAATCCTCACCTCTCTGCCTCCTACATAGACATGGCTTCTTTCTTATAAGGACCCCAGTCTTTGGAGTCAGGGCCCACACTGGTCCAGTGTGACCTCTTCTAAGCTAATTACACCCACAAACACCCTTTTTCCAAATAAGATTCCATTCTGAGGTTCCAAGTTAACACGATTCAATTCAGTGCGGGGTGGGGGGGCAAAGAGGAGTTTGAGCCCTGCATTGGTCGCCTTCCAGCAATGGAAGCCTCCACATTTCAGATTCCTCATCAGGAAAACGGGACTGAGGTGAGGATGTTCTGAGGTGGTACAAAGGACTTAACCCGGGAGTACCAGCTGCCGTGTGCAGGTCTGGAACCCAGGGCCTTTGCACATGCTAGGCAAGCGCTCTACCACTGAGCTGCGTGTCCAGCCTGCTGTCAGCTTTTGTGAGTAAGGCAGACCCCACATAGGCGACCCTCAGGTAGCTCCTCCCTCTCTCCACATCGCACCTCCAGCAGCATCCAGCCCCGGCAGCACCCCAAGGTCAGGAAGGAAGGCTGGGATGGATGTCCCCACCATGCTCAGAGTTTCGTGGGTGTGACTTTATCCACAGGGTGGCTACAAAGGCTCAGAGGCAGACATATCCCTCACGGCACTTGTCCTGATCGCCCTGCATGAGGGGAGCGAACTGTGCGGCCCCAGAATAACGGTAGGACCCCAGAGAGGAGGGCGGGGTGTGCAGGATGCGTGAGCCTGCCCCCAAGTCCCTCCCGGTCCCTCTCCCCTAACTCCTGGACCTCTTTCCTCTGATCACCTCCCTCTGGCCTCGTCCCTTGGACCCTCTAGAATTTGGCCGGCAGCCTAGAGAGAGCCCGAGGCTTCCTGGAAACGCAACTCCCCAACATCCAGACGACCTTTGCCATGGCCATAGCCTCCTACGCGCTGGCACTGGCCAACAGCCCCCGGGCCAACGACCGCCTGGACAGCTTCGCCAGCCAGGGTGGGTGTGGGGCACGGCACAGCCCACTGCGCGTTAGCCGCGGTCACGGGGGCGGGGAGGGGACACAATCCCAAATCCAGCAAATTGCGACTCGCCACTGAGTGTTTACTGAGCCCCTGGTATGCATCACCTCCGGAGCTCAGAGCCCAAGAGACCGAGGCGAGCAAGGCTGACACGGTCCCTGCCCTCCAGGGTCCCACGGTCCCTCAGACAGTGATGTTCAATAAAATGGCCGATGAGCCAGGCTCACCCCTGTAATCTTAGCTACTCAGGAGGCAGAGGTCAGGAGGATGGTGGTTCAAAGCCAGCCTGGGCAAATAGTGCCAGAGACCCTATCTCGAAAGACCCATCACAGACAAAAGGGCTGGTGGAGTGGCTCAAGGTGGAGGCCCTGAGGTCAAGCCCCAGTGCAGATGGGATTGAAGGAGAGGCAGGAGGAGGCAGTTAGCCCCAATCCAGGTGACCAGGTGGGTGTGTCCCTCTTCTAGACAAAACCCACTGGCCGGTGGGCTACCTGGGCCAGGACTCCTTGTACACTGTGGAGGCCACAGCCTACGCGCTGATGCAGAAGCTCTATCTGGGCCAGCACCATGAGACGCACGCCATCGCCAAGTGGCTCCTGGAGAGGCGCGAGCTGGGCGGGGGCTTCGGGTCCACGCAGGTGACCGGGCCTGGGAGGGGGCCGGGAGCTGACCGAGGTGCTGGCGCGCCCCGCCCGCGGGAGGGCGCTGTCCGTGGTGCTGAAGTGGCCAGAGCCCTGTCTGTGGTGCTGATCTCCGTTCCCTGCTCCAACACCCAGACCACCGTGGTGACCCTCGAAGCCCTGACCCGCTTCAGCGAAGATGTCCCCTTCCATGGAACCCAGGACCTCCGTGTCCAGATCAGTGTCCCCAAGAGAGCGTTGAACGTGCAGTGGCTCATTAATCGGAACAACGCCTACCAGCAGCGGTCAGCCAAGGTGCGGAGATGAGGGACGGGCAGGAGGTCTATGCAAAGGTGGCACTGGAGGTGAGGGTGGCACTGGGGGACAGGAAGGAGGTCCATGTATAATTATCCCATTGAGGATAAGGCCAACAGCTACATCCTTACCAATCTACTCCCCCCAAAGATGACGTCATGGCTGTTGGCAATTTGACTTTATGTTGATGTATACAGTCATCTGTTCCATTACCATTTTGGAGTGTCTACCATGGGCCACGAGTCATAAAAGATGCATGGTCCCTGTCTTCATGAAACAATCTAGAAAGAAATGTATGCAGCCAGGTGTGGTGGTGCACACCTGTAATCCCAGTTACTGGGGAGGTGGATGTAGGAGCATCATGGTCCGAGGACAGTCCAGGCAAAAGCATGAGGCCCTACCTAAAAAAATAACCAAAGTAAAAAAAGGGGTGGGGGCAGGACTCAAGTGATAAAGTGCCTGCCTAGCAAGCTCAAGACCTGGGTTCCATCCCCAGTATACCCCTCCCCCCCAAAAAAAAAGCAAAATGAGGGGAAAATGAAAAGGTGCAAAGATGTCAGTGAAGAGTATGTTGGAGGCTCTGTGCATGCTTTCCTCCCCGCCCTCCTTGCTCTCAGCCCCCTGGTGCTGCCTGTGTCACCCTTAAATCCTCTTCTTCTCTTCAGTTCTTGGCTCAGGATGACTTAGAGATCAAAGTCAGTGGCAATGGAAGAGGCACCATCTCGGTAGGTCTGGTCCCCTGCATCCTGGTCCGCGAAGGCTGTCATGCCAAAATACCACTAAGTCAGGAGGTTTCTCACAGTTCCAGACGGGGGAGGCAGTCCAAGGTCAAGGCACTGGCAGATTCAGTGCTTTCTGGTTCACAATTGGTGCTTTCTTGTTTTTCTTTTTCTTTTTGCCTTTGTTTTTGTTTGTTTCAGACAGGGTCTCACTGGGTAGCCCGGATTGGCCTTAAATTTTTTATGTAGCCAGGCTGGCCTGGATCTTAAGATCCTCCTGCCTCAGCCTCCTGAGTGCTGGGATTACAGGTGTGCCTAGATGCTGTCTTCCTGTTTGTCCTCACATGATGGAAGGAGCAAGGAGCTTTGTGAGGCCTGATAAGGGCACTAATCCTGTTTCTAAGGTCTCCACCCTCTTGACCTAATCACCTCCAAAGGCTCCACTTTCTTTCTTTCTTGTTCTTTTTTTTTTTTTTTGTGGTACCAGGGCTTGAACTCAGGGCCTACACCTTGAGTCACTCCACCAGCCCTTTTTGTGTTGGGTATTTTAGAGATAGGGTCTGGTGAACTATTTGCCCAGGCTGGCTTGGAACCACGATCCTCCTGATCTCTGCCTCCTGAGTAGCTAGGATTACAGGCGTGAGCCACTGGCGCCTGGCTCCACTTTCTAATGTAGTGACACTGACGTTTAATTTTTCAATATATGAATTGAGGGGAGTCACAAACTCATGCCAAAGAACTCACCTTTGAAATCTTTAACTAGAAGGGCTGGAGGAGTGGCCCAAGCAGTAGAGCACCTGCCTAGTAAGTCCAAGGCCCTAAATTCAAACCCTAGTACCACCAAAAACAAAGAAAAGAAAAATAAGCCAGTCGTGGTGGCACATGCTTATAATCCCAGAGGAAGGGAGGGAGGGAGGGAGTGGGAGAGAGAGAGAGAGGAGGAGGAGAGGAGGGAGGGAGGAAGGAGGGACAGAAGGAAGGAAGGAGGAGGGAGGGGAGGAGGGAGAGAGAGAGAGAAGGATGAGAAGAGGGAGGGAGGGAGGGAGGGAGGAAGGCAGGAAGGCAGGCAGGGAGGGAGGGAGGCAGGAAGGGAAGAAGGAAGGGAGGGAGGAAGGAAGTTCTACTAGACTCGAGCCTGTTCTGGCTCTGACCCCAGAATCAAAGGGTAGAGGGGAAGAGACCTTGGGTTGAGTCCCCACTTGCGCAGAGACCTGGGAAGTCAGGGATGAGAGTGAGGAGGAAAGGGAGAGGGTTGCCATGGGCTCTGATGTCCTTTTTCTGCCCTGACAGATACTGACGATGTACCACAGGTCCCCAGAGTCCTGGGAGGAGACATGCAACCTCTACCGCCTAAATGTGACTCTGCAAAGTGTCCCAGAAGGTGAGCGAGGACCCAGTAATGCACAACCCTGCGTCCTTATTACTTTATCTTAGCTGCTGCTCATGAAGCACATTTATTCAGTCATTCAACAAATGTTTAGTGAGCATTTTCTGCAGGCTAGACCATTTCTTGGTCCTGGAAACATAGATATGAGCTAGAAAAATGTCCTGTGTCCCCAGATGTGGTGATGCAGCCTGTAGTCCCAGCACTCAGGAGGCAGAGGCAGGAGGATCATGAGTTTGAGGCCAGCCTGGGCTACACAGTGAAACATTGTCTCAAAAACCCAGGGCTGGGGATGTGTGGCTCAGGGACAGGTGCAAAGGCCCTGAAATAGGAATGAATTCACTGGGTGTGAGTAACAGTGAGGAGAGTATGTGGCTAGAGAGGAGCAAGAGGTAGAATTTTAGGAGACAGTTGAGAGGTGATGAGGGAAGCTAGCACCTGGACTTGGTCATAGGGAGGGTTTGACTTTGGCCAGCCTTTGCTTTAAGTCAACTGGGAGCCATAGAAGGTTCTAAGCAGAGGAGGGACCTAGCACAGGTTTGCACTGGCTCCTCTTGACACTGTGGGAGGACAGACAGGAGAGGGCAAAAATGAGAGCCGGGAGACCAGGGAGACTGGTCCTTCAGGAAGCCTGACCAAGGTCATGGGTGTAAAATGACCAGAAATAGCAGACTTTGTCAGCTCTCAGACTGGGGTATCAAAGAGAGGAGAGAACCCTCACACTCTGGTTTGAGCCCTTCCTCCTCCTCCCCCCCCTTCCTCCTCCCCCTCCTCCTCCCAATGGCTTCAGAATATGATGAATTTATACATGAAGAAAGTGAGGCAGAGAGGTTAAGCAATTTGTTCAAAGTCACACATCAGCAGCATCAGGATTTGAACCCAGAAAGCTGGCTCCAGAGGCCCTGAGCTCAGTCACGGTGCTCTCCAGCCTTCTAAACCCCTTCTTTCTCGCTGCAGAAAATAAAAAAGGAGAGGAGACTTTCCAGCTCCGGATGGAAACAAGGTAATGGGAGCAGGACTTTGGGCTGGGCAGGAGGAAGGCGCTGTGATCTTCTGTCCACATTTCTTCCCTCCCTGGGTACTGGATGGAGGGTGGGGACAAGCTGACCTCTCCATGCCTCATCCTACCCCTATCTTACCTCCAACTCTTCCTGTCATCCTGTCACATCTGCTTGAACTAAGGTGGCAAACTGCCACAGCCAACGAGCTCCATCATCCAGATGAGCAGAGTTAACTCCAAGCGCAATGGCTCTCCCTTGGCCAGGTCTGCCCCAGATACAAATATGTACTGAGCACCTAGCTCTAGAAGCTATAATCAAGGCACGAAATGTCAGGCGCCGGTGGCTGTCACCTGTGATCCTAGCTGCTTGGGAGGCTGAGATTAGGAAGAGCAAGGTTTAAGGTCAGCCAGGGTAAATAGCTCATGAGACCCCATCTCCAAAATAACCACAGCAAATTGGACTGGAGGAGTGGCTCAACTGGCAGAGCACCTGCTTTGCAAGTGTGAAGTGAAGCCCTGTGTTCAAACCCCAGTCCCTCAAAAAAAAAAAAAAAAAAAAAAAGCAACCAAAGAGGAGGAGGAGGCTAGGGAGAACAGATGAAACAGCACTTGCTGTAGACCCTAACACAAGATATTTAGAGAGGACACCCAGATTCCTGCTTGCTAGTGCTCTATGCTGTTGAGGGCAGAGTGGAGATGAGGCTACTGCACTGGTGCAGAAGCTGGCAGTGGTGAGCACGGGGTAAGAGGCAGCAGGACAGTAGGAAGACAGACTGTGAAATCCCCAGGTTCCAGGACAATCGAGAGGCCACCATGACTATCATGGAGATCTCCCTGCTCACCGGCTTCTACCCCAACCTGGATGACCTGAAACAGGTAAAGAAGACCCCACCTGCAAGCAGCTGAGCCACATGTCACCCCCTCCATGTGGAAGCAGCAGAAGTTACCTGGATTAGGGCCCCACGGACTGCCCCATGCTAGGGCCAGGTTACTTAGTAATGACTCCTTTGGTTTTATTTTTGGCGGCATTGGGGTTTGAACTCAGGGCCTTGTGCTTGCTAAACAGGTGCTCTACCACTTGAGACATTCCACCAGCCCTTTCTGCTTTAGGTATTTTTTGGATAAAGTCTCTCATTTTTTGCCTGGACCAACAATCCTTACCTCTGCCTCCCTGGTAACTGGGATCACAGCACTTGCCCTAAGTGACCCCCAGCATGGCTTTAAGGATGTCCTTTGATGCTTGGGCCTCAGTTTTCCCAACAGCAGATGAGGCCGGGAGCTCACACCAGCTGAGCTCCTAGGTCTGGGGACTTGGAGGCCTCCTGCTAACCGCCATCGCTGCCCTCTGCCCCAGCTCACCAACGACGTGGAGATGTATGCCTTCCAGTACGAGACCAACACAAGCTCCAGCGACAGCACGGTTGTCCTCTACCTGGACAAGGTGAGGAAGGCCAGGTGCCCAGGTAGAGACCTTCAGATGGTCCCCTGAGTGGCCTTGGCAGGCAGCCATTCCCTCTGAGGTCTGTGCCTACAGTCCAGCCCACGTGGCCAGTGGTCATGGTCAAGGTCCTGTGGTCAATGCCCCATACTCAGCTCAGACTGGACTCCTCCCCACCCCCTCCCCCAGCTCTCCCATAAAGAAGACACGGTGCTGGGCTTCCGCGTGCACAGGATGCTGCAGGCCGAGTTCCTTCAGGCTGCTCTGGTCACCATCTATGACTACTACGAGCCTTGTGAGCAAAAGTCTGGGGGGTGGACAGGTGTCCCACAAGGGGACCAGGACTGCAAAGGACAGAGCCAGGAGCTGGGGAATGTGAGCCTGGGTGCTCACGAGGGGCGTGGCCTTCTTGGGTGATTCTAAGTGGGCGTGGTCTGGAAGCAGCAGAACCCAATAAGAGACTGAGCATGG